TCTCTCTCTCTCTCTCTCTCTCTCTCTCTCTCTCTCTCTCTCTCTCTGTCTTTGTTGTAAGAGGAGATTTCCTGGAGAGGGATATATTCAGAAATGGGCAGCTTGGTGGCTCAGTGTATAGAGTACTGGGCCTAGAGTCAGGAAGGCCTGAGTTCAAATCTGGTCTCAGACATTTGCTACCTGTTGATAACTACCACTGCATGTAAAATGAGAGGGTTGCAATAGATAGACTCTGAGGTCCTTCTCAGTTTTTACGTCAATAATACGAAGATCCTATCTATCTATGAACCATCACTCTGATGCTCAAGGGCCATATTTCAACCAACATGCTGCCTATATGTGTATTTTTAAATTCTCTAACATAATATCTATAGAAGAAGGAGAAAAGGTTCCCAGAAATTGAATGAAAGGTTATCACAACTTCCATAAGGCCAGGAATTATTGGTCTCAGAGACTGCAATTTAGTGACTCAACTTTTCCATTTCCCCTCAAGAAACCCCTTGTTCTCTGGCATAATGCAGCCTTTCTATCTTTGAACAAATTTTTCCTGATAGCCAGCTCTCTCTGACAACCTGCTTCACTGGATAAATGAGGGAGGCAATTATGTGCCAAGAGGTTAGAGATTTTAAAATGTTCAAGGCTACCCTGCCAGATCTGAACACCTGCCCTTTTCTGCTGGCTGCAGGCCTCGTGAGGAGTTTGTTTTGTTTTGTTTTGTTTTTAAGTTGGGCTTGCTTTAGTTTCCACTTTGCCATCTATGGCTCTGCCGTCAAACCTATCAGACATTTCCCAGCTCAGGCCTCATAGACCTCAATCATCAGACCTTTCTTCCTTGTCAGCCCTTCCTCCAGGAAACATCAAATTGCCCTTTACTGATACTTGCCCATCTTCCTGGGGTTAGGCAAGGCTACAAACACAGAAAAGCTCCTGACCACACTGCCTTGCAAGATTGGAGAGTCCTGAGGCTCAGAGATGATCTGCTCCAACCCATCATCCCTGAGCAGAAACTGGAATCAACCCAAAAAACACTTATGAAGTGCCTACTATGTGCAATGTTCTGAGAATGCAGAGACAAAAATGAAACTATCCCTGACGTAAAGAGTTTACCTTCTACTGAAATTCCCTCAATATGAGCAAAGAACTCATTTCACCCTAAGAGAGCTCATTCCAACTTTTGGTCAATTAGGAAACTTGGGATTGTTGGGAAGTTTTCCAATGTATTAAGCAAAATCTTCCTCTGGAAAGATTGACCCAATATATTCAATACTGATCTCCCTGGGAAACTTTCTTCCTGGATAGTGCAAAGGTAATCTGCCATACGGAGTGGAAATATACTCTGAAGTTATGAAATCTTAATTGATAATACTTGATAGTGTGTGGCAGACCAGAGAGATAATGATTCTGGAAACTTGCACATAAGAGGTACTTAATAAATGTTTGTTGAGTTAAATATAAATGAATGAATGAAAAAGCATTTATTGTAGTGCTTACAATGTGCAAAGCATTGAGGATGCAAATAAAAGTGTAAGACAGTACTTGTTCTCAAGGAGCTCTCATTCTTTTTTTTATTTTAAATTTTTTTCTTTTTTTCTAATTCATTAATTTTTTTATTTTCAGTTTCTAACATTCACTTCCATAAGATTTTGAGTTCCAAATTTTCTCCCCATCTTGTCCCTCCCCCATCCCAAGACAGCATGCATTCTGAATACCCCTTCCCCTAATCTACCCTCCCTTCTATCTCCCACTCCCCCCTTCTTTATCCCCTTCCCCTTCTATTTTCCTGTAGGGCAGGATAGATTTCTATACACCATTGCCTGTATATCTTATTTCCCAGTTGCATGTGAAAACAATTTTTAACATTTCTTTCTAAAACTTTGGGTTCCAAATTTTTTCCCTTCCTCCCTCCCCACCCACCTTCATTGAAAAGGCAAGCAACTTGATACAAGTTATACTTGTGTAGTCATGCAAAACACTTCCATAGGAGTCATGTTGTGAAAAACTAACTATATTTCACTTCATCCTATTCCCCCCCATTTATTCTATTCTCTCTTTTGACCCTGTCCCTCCTCAGAAGTGATTGCTTCTGATTACTCCCTCCCCCAACCTGCCCTCCCCTCTATCATCCCCCTGCTTTCTTATCTCCTTACCCTTTATTTTCCTGTAGGGTAAGACAGATTTCCATACCCAATTGAATGTGTATGTTATTCCCTCCTTAAGCCAAATCCAACAAGAATAAGATTCACTCATTCCTTCTCACCTCCCCCTGCATCCCCTCCACTATAAAAGCCTTTTCTTGTCTGTTTTATGTGAGATGATTTACCTCATTCTACCTCTCTCTTTTTCCTTCTCCCAGTATAATCCTCTCTCATCCCTTAATGTTATTCTCCAGATATCACCCCTGCATCTTCAACTCACCCTGTGCCATCTATCTATATATCTATCTACCTATCTATCTATCTATCTATCTATCTATCTATCTATCTATCTATCTATCTTTCCATTTATTTTTCTCTCCAACTACCCTAATACTGACAAAGGTCTCATGAGTTAGAAATATCATCTTTCCATGCAGGAATATAAACAGTTCAACCTTAACAAGTTGCTTATGATTTGTCTTTCCTGTTTACCTTTTCATGTTTCTCTTAAGTCTTGTATTTGAAAGTCAAATTTTCTATTCAGTTCTGGTCTTTTCATCAAGAATGCTTGAGAGTCTTCTATTTCACTAAATGTCCATTTTTCCCCCTGAAGGATTATACTCAGTTTTGCTGGGTAGGTGATTCTTGGCTGTAATCCTATCTCCTTTGACCTCCAGAATATCATATTCCAAGCCCTGCAGTCCCTTAATGTAGAAGCTGCTAAATCTTGGTTATCCTGATTGTGTTTCTACAATACTGGAATTATTTCTTTCTGTTTCCTTGCAATATTTTCTCCTTGACCTGGGAACTCTGGAATTTGGCTACAATATTCCTAGGAGTTTTCATTTGGAGATCTCTTTTAGGAGGTGAGCAGTAAATTCTTTCCATTTCTATTTTACTCTCTGGTTCTAGAATATCAGGGCAGTTTTCCTTGATAATTTCTTGAAAGATGATGTCTAGGCTCTTTTTTTTGATCATGGTTTTCAGATAGTCCAATAATTTTTAAATTCTCTCTCCTGGATCTATTTTCCAGGTCAGTTGTTGTTCCAATGAGAAATTTCACATTATCTTCTATTTGTTCATTCTTTTGGTTTTGTTTTACAATGTCTTGATTTCTCAATAAAATCACTAGCTTCCATTTGCTCCATTTTAATTTTTAAGGAAGTATTTTCTTCAGTGAGTTTTTGGACTTCCTTTTCCATTTGGCCAATTCTGCTTTTGAAGGCATTCTTCTCCTCATTGGCTTTTTGAACCTTTTGATCATTTGGGTTAGGCTATTTTTTAAGGTGTTATTTTCTTCAGTATTTTTTTGGGTCTCCTTTAGCAAGCTGTTGACTTGTTTTTCATGATTTTCTTGCATCACTCTCATTTCTCTTCCCAGTTTTCCTCTACTTCTCTTACTTGCTTCTCAAAATCCCTTTTGAACTCTTCCATGGCCTGGGACTGATTCATGTTTTTCTTGGAGGCTTTGGATATAGGAGCTTTGACTTTGTTGTCTTCTTCTGGTTGTATGTTTTGATCTTCTTTGTCACCAAAGAAAGATTTTATGGTCTGACTTTTTTTGTGCAGTTTGCTCATGCTCCCAGTCAATTACTTGAGTTTTAAACTCTTTGTTAAGGTAGGGGTCTGCTTCCAGTGTGGGGAATGTACTGTTCCAAGCTTTGGGGGTTTTGTGCAGCTGTTTTCAGAGATACTTCTAGGGACCTAAATTTTCAGTTCTTCCAAGGTGGTACAATCCAGGGTGAGGTGTTTACTCCTTTCCTAGGCTGTACTCTGGTCTCTGAGTGACCATAAGCACTCTTTTCTGTCTTGGAACTGTGAGGAGGATTTCCTCTCCACCACCACTACAAGCTCCACCATGCTAGCGCTCCTCCTTGCCCCAGGACTGCCACCCAGAACTATGACCCAAATCCAAGCAAGGGCAAAGCAAAAGAATTCTGCCTCAGTGCTGGCAAAGAGATCCCTGCAGTCCCCCTCTGATCAGCCACTTGATTCCCTCTTCATCTATAGGCCAAGAGCTCAGGAAGCCGCTGACACCCCAGGGCTGTACCAGGACTGGGGCTAAGACCAAGCTTCTCTCTTACCACAGTCACAGACTTTTCCTACTGACCTTCTAAGTTGTCTTTGGTGTTTGTGAGTTGAGAAGTCTGGAAACTGTCACAGCTGCCCATGATTCAGTCCCCTGAGGCCTGCTCCAGGTTTGCTGAGGCCTGGTCTTTGGGGCCACACAGAACTGTGTTCGTCTCCCAGCCCAGTGGAATGGACCTTTCAAATCAACCATCCAGGTTGTCTTGGGCTAGAAATGTGTTTCACTCTATCTTCCCGTGGGTTCTGCTGCTCTAGAATTTGTTTAGAGCCATTTTTTTAGGTATTTGGAGGGCTTTGGGAGAGAGCTCAAGACAGTCACTGCTTTCCCTCTGCCATCTTGGCTCCGCCCCCCAGGAGCTCTCATTCTAATGGGGAGACAATACACCTAGAAGGTTTCAGCTGCTAATCAGATGGAAAGGAGTTAAACTCCTTAGTGCAGTGACAAAGTGATGGCAATGGATCATCTTTAATGTCATTTTCCAAAAATGATCTCAGTTTCTGATGTTGAACCATTTGACAGTGCTACAGACTTTTCAGGCAAGAACTATCTCCTTTGGGTCTTCAGGAGTTGGGGGTCTAGTACCCGAAGAAGCAGGTGCCAGGTCACATCTCCATGAGGGTTGCTTCCCAGGAGGGTGGCTGCCAGGGTTGGGATGAAAGCAGAACCAGAGGTCCTGGAGTATCAGTACTCCCAAGGCTCTTGGACTTAACTGCCTGTCTATGGCAGATGATCAACAATTGGTATTGGTAGTTGCAAGAAAGATGAGATAAAAAGAATACAATAATATCTGGTTTTTTATCTGTCTTACAGTTGTTTTTTAAATCTCTTTCTCTCCAGGGCCCCAATCTTGTGGGTAGAGAGAAACATGACTCTCTGGGCACTTCAGGTGAGTGATTACGATTTGACAGGTAATTCAGAAGTCATCTGCAAAGGTTCTTTGCCTAAGATTTCAGAAAGTCCCTCTAGATAATTTCTCTGAACTTGACAAGTTGAAGAACACCCATAGAAACTAGTGTTGCTTTTGATGACACCCTATTTCTGTGCAGACACTCAAAAAGTTTTTGATATTTTAATAATGATTAATTTATAAGGTAGCAGGCAAGTCCATCCCCAAACTCCAAATATCTCCTGATAATGTTTCATGGTGCCTAAAATTCTACCATTATAGTTTTATTTCTTTGGGCATATGAAGACCTTTCAATCTCACAGTGTCTCCTATTAAACTTGCTATAACAAACCTGGCCCTAGGACTCTAGCAACACCTGCCTTTTCCATTAGGAAGGACCAGGCACTGAGCATCTGCTCTGTCACATACTACTTTCTTCTGTATCCCTTCCCTCCACCTTCCATTTCTTTCCCAGGAGCTGGTAATCAAATCAACATTTCTTTTGCTACTGTGAAGAGTGTGGCACTCAAATTTTCTATGCATCTTAGTTGTAGGATGCCCAGGCAGAAGCTCTTTTCCCTGCCCATTACTCCTTGGGCTGTCTTGTTAGCCCCATCCCCTTGATATTCCTATCCCACTCTTTCTCAGCTTTTCATTGTACCCTCTGGAATTCCTGCTGTATTATTAAACTTCATATTAAACTTGTATGCCCTCCTTCCTTCCTCCATACTTTGAATATATTTTATATTTATAGTTATATGTATATGTATATTTGGTTTTTTCCCACCAATAGACTGTAAGCTTCCAGAGGGCAGGAATTGTTTTGTTTTTTCTTTGTAAATATCCACCCTCTATACATACACACACACACACACACACACACACACACACACACACACTGCCTAGCACACTGCCCAGTGGTTAATAAATGCTTATTGAATGGAATAGAATGGAATTAAAGTGCAAACATCCCCAAAAAGGATGACACCTTAAGCTCCTATCAAGTAATAGCCGTCATTTAGTTAGTGCTGTGCAAAAGACTCTGAGGATAAGAGAGAGAACAATCCTAAGGCAAGGTCATCCAAGAGCCTCCAGAAGGACTCAGAAGGGTAAAAGGCAGAGCAACAAAGAGAAACTTTCCTGACTTTACAACTTGGCCTAGGATCATGCCTATTGTCTCACTACCTCCTTTTTTGAGGATTTCTGGGTCAAAAGCTACCCCCCAGATATTCTGGCCTATGTCCTTTTCCTTCCCTGAACCCTGTCCCTCTTCTTCCAAGTTTTGTCTAGTGTAGTAACCGTGGAAAAATCCCTTGGTTCCACCACAGTTTTTCTTTATGTTATCCAAGAGCTTCAATGTCTATCCTTCATTCTTTTCTAGGTCATTATAGCATTAATAGGTTTTCTTGAGACAATGCTCCTCATCTATCTCAGCTACAAGGTAAGCTCCCTCCTGATCTCCTTGGAAGTCTAGAGGAGGGAGGAGTAGTCCAATACTACTTGTTTATATCCTTCCCTCTCTCCCTGGATTGAATTTCTTTTTTTTTCCTTTCCTAGAAGGAAAGTAGGAATGTAGTCCAGCAATTGGAGAAATGTCCTTTGACAAAGAACACAGGACCTACTGATCACATGGGAACTCCGTACTTCACAGTCACAGCTAATGCTTATACAGTACATTATAGTACCTAACTCTTAGAGCAGGAAGCATTCTCAGAGGTCATCAAATGCAATTCCCACAGCTGCACGGAGGAAGAATTTGAACTCGGGTTTCACTGACTGAAAGTATAGTCAGTACGCTATCCACTTCACTGCCTCTCCCTTATTTTTGTTTTTACTTTTTAACATTTTGTGTTCTTGGAGTTCCAGTTTCTTTACATTCCATGTTATTATCTTGATTCTCTCTCTTTTTGGGAGGGAAGATGGCGTTTGTACTGAGGATGGTTTGTTGATTTCTAGTGTCCTGATTCCCCAGGCTGGACCCAGCCACAAAGTCAGCTTCCTAAGTCAGATTTCTGAAAACCCTGAACTCTCCTTAAGGCTACTGCTCTTGTTTACACCTTAAAGCCTGGTGAGAGGAAATATGCACAGAGGTTCATTTCCTGACAATTCCAACAGAAGATATTTTGAAAAAAAAAACCATAAACTAGGCTCCCTTTAATAATCTGAAAGATTTTTTTCCCCTGTGTTTATTTAAAACCAAAATTCTCTACCCAAGAACAAGCCTATAGGATGCTTTAGGATAAATAGTATTTCTATTGTATTATCTTTTTTCCCTTCCCCCATCTCTCTTTCCTTCCCTCTTTCATCTTTCTTTTTGCCTTCCCCTCTTCCTTTCTCCATTCCTTTGCTCCTTTTTTCTCCCTTTCCCCTCTATTCTCTTTCCCCTATTCTCTTCCTTCCCACTCCTTTATCCCTTCCCTTTTAGAGAAGGCATGAACCAAGGTCACAGTCTAATCTATGAACAGGAATGTCTGAGTGACTGTTTCCCAAACAGATGCCCTGTGCTCATGGTCTTTGGGGAGATCCTTTGATCCTTTGTTCTGTCATTCCAGACTCCTGGCTCTAAACCAGGAGATGCTGGCCTTTCTCCCTGTCATTAAGCTGTCCCTGAGGTGAGCTTGGAGATTTGGGCCAATCCCCATCCTGGTTCCTGGCTCTGCACAAATGTCCCTTCTCTCACATAGAAGTGGGAGCCAGGGATCCTCAGGAAAGGCTGATGATAATCTATTTATTCAGAAATGGAAATCAACTCCGGGGTTAACAGTTGCCAATTAAGAAACCCCACTCAAAACAAAAGATGTCATAGGGAGGAAAGTGCAGCTAGGTGTGTGCCTCTTCCTCTTTTGCCTCTGCCAAGATGGTCACTAATGAGAAGACCGGACCTTACAGAAGACTATAGAAAGCAATTCCATTCTTTCCTTTGGGGTTAATAATAATCTATTGGGCACCAGGAGAAGGGAAGGGTTAAGAAATGGAATTTAGTTTGGGTTTTACTATTTCTACCATCTCTATAATGACTATGTTAATACAATTATATGGGTTAAATAGTAATTTCTCCAAGTATTAGGAAATATTTTTACAAGAGGAGCTTGTAATATCTGCTGTCCCTTCCTCTTCCTTTTATTCTCCCTGTTTCTCTCACCCTTTATTTCTCTCCCTTCAATGAATCTCTTCCCTTTCTTCCTTCCCTCTCCTTCTTTCTGTCTTCTTCTCCCTCACTATGAGTCTATTTCTCTCTTTTACTCCTTCCCAAGCTCTTTTATCATCTCTTCCCCACTATTTCTGCTTCTCTCTCCCCCTTATCTTTCTCCTTTCTTTCTCTCTCACCCATCCTCATGTCTTTCTCCCTTTCATCCTCTTCCATTGTCTCTCTATTACTTTTCTCTCTATGAATTCATTTCTTCTTCTCCATATCTCTCTCCTCACATCTCTCTATCTTTTTTCTTTATTTTGTTCCCATCTTCCCTTCTCTTCTCTACCTCATATCCCCCTCTTGTCCCCAGATTGCTCCATCTTCTCTCTTTTCATCATCCCTCTCAATGCCCATCTTTCCTTCCCCATACTTCACTCCCTACTTTTTCTCTCTTCATCTTTCCCTCATCCCTCTCTGGAATTTTCTCTAAGCTATTTTGCTGTTTGGCTCCACAGGGAAACATTTGGGAACAGATCTTCCGGGTTTCTTTCATCTTGGAAATGATCAACACAGTCCCATTTATCATCACGGTAAATAAGCATTGGATCACCCATTCTATAGAGGAGGGATTACTGATCTAGGTATCCATCTTCTGGGGAATTATTCCCAGAGAGTTTCATCCCAAACGCTGCTGTCTACTGTTCCTTAGATTTTCTGGCCTCCCCTGCGGAATTTGTTCATCCCGGTTTTTCTGAACTGCTGGCTAGCCAAGTATGCCTTGGAGAACATGATTGTAAGTAACCATAAACTGAATGGATTGTGGGTTTGGGTTATAGCAAACCTGGTGGCCCATCTGTCTCCCTTCTACTGTTAGCATAGATTGTTCTCTGTGTGTGTGTGTGTATGATTTTTTTTCTCCCCCAAAGATATCATTGGGCAGAGCTAAGCATATGCCATGAAGTCTCAGCTATCTACAGTGTAGCTTATTTGCATCAAATCTTACTTTAAATAATATTGCTATCTATTCAACATATAATCAAGTCCTTTGTTGGGTCTTACTTTACTCCAGCCCAATAAGAGCTGACAGGGAAGGCCTTTGAGCTGAAATACTTAATTACCTCCCAGGGGAACTATAAAAGCCAGTCAGTTTAGAGAGGCCCCCTCTGCTATATGTTGGCGTTTTCCAGTCAACAAAGCAATGCTATCCACCTCTGACAGGGAGTTCAGAATCCACAGAGACTTCTCAGTTGGATGGGGCTGGCAGGACAGAAATGAAAATGATAAATCTCCTCGGTACCTCCTGAGTCGGGTTCTCACGTGTCCAGAACTCACTTCCTTCTAATCTCTACCTATTAGAATTTCTGTTTCCTTCAAAACTATGTTCAGGTACCACTTTCTACAGGAAGTCTTTTGATTCTTAGTTGCTAGTACCTTTTCCACGAAAGAAATTCATATTGTATTTTGCATACGCTTATTTACGTATGTATCGTCTCCCCCAATATATTGAAAATTCTCTGAAAGCAGGAGCTATTTCATTTCAGCCTTTGCATCTAGCTTTTTGCCTGACACTTTGTAAGTACTTAATAAATTCTTATTGGTTGATTGATAAATTGAAGTCTAGAGTCCAGGAAAAAAAGAAGTCAGTACTGCTGTCCTCTGCCTGAGTCATATCATATCTAAAATATTGTGTTCAGTTCTGGGCACATTCTATGAGGAAAATTAAGTCCAGAAGAAGATAACCAAGATGGGGCCAGGGTGGGGGAGGGGAGGGGGAGAAAGAGAAGACTCAAAACTTTATCAAAGGAGAATTAATGATTGAAGCTGTGGACATTTAAACTAGTGATGAGAAGAATTTGGGGGAGCATGAAAACTGGCTTCTAGTCTTTGAAAGGCTATCATGGGCTTTTCTTAATTGCATCCAGAGGACAGCAGTAGGACCAGTTGGTAGGAATTACAGGGAGGCAGAAATCTGCTCTCTATAAGGAAGAACTTTCTAATTAATTGAGTTATCCAGAAATGAGACATGCTACCTCATTACATAGTGATCTCCCTGTCCCTTGAAGTGTTCAAGGAGGCTAACGAAAGGATTCTTACTCTGTGTTGGTAGTTACATTAAATGAACTCTGAGCTTCCTTTCAACACTGACATGATATGACTCTAAGTTAAGAAATTAAACAATTCCCAGTATTTGTTTACAGTTTATAAAGCATTTTACATGATTGTCTCATTTGAGCAAGCTAACTGAATAGTTTGAGGCCTCATTTCGAATCACAGGCATAATGAAGCAATGAAGCCCCCATGGATGGACTCCCAATCAACAAAAGCGATTCTGCTGCCACCTCCTCCTCCCTCCCCCAGAGGCCATGGAAAAGATGTGGAGTGTAATGGCTGTTTAAGCCATAGAAACAGAAGCTGTGTCTGCCCTCCCTGGCTGGTTTGTAGGCGAGGAAAGTGAATTCCATCAAACAGACAATTGTTTCATAAACAACAGATGATCCCTAAGATCTCTTCCAGCTCAAGTAGTCTGTGAATCTGAATTCAGGAGAGCAATTGGATATTTTAAAATGACTAATTGAACCCGTTCAAATAACTAGTTATTTTTAAAACAGAAAGTTGAATGCAATCAGTCAACTTGCTAATAAATGGTTCATAGTCCTAGGCAGTTATTATTAATCATTTGTTTTCAAAATAGCCAGTTGTTGTATTCCAACTTTATGTGTCTGAATGTGAGTCTTTCTCTGAAAGCCTGTTTGTGGCTCTGTGTAGCTTCCTTTGTGTTGGCATGGCCATGGGTATCTTAAAGAATTTTGGGTCTGCCTATACCTATATGATTCTCTGCGTGTGTGTGTATGTGTGTGTGTGTGTGTGTGTGTGTCTGAGGGTGTGAGTGCCATCCTATCTGGAATACCCTTGTCACAGATCCAACTCCTCCCCATTTTAGGGTCCAGTTCAAGGATATCCTCCTCCGTGAAGTGATCCTAGAGTAAACAAGCCTTTAACTGTCTCTGTGGTCCTGTAGCACTTGTGGCCTGTCCTGTGCTTTGGGGGCACCTAATTAGGTTAGATCAGTCCAGCACTCAATTCCATTCTGCTTTATTTATATCGTTCTCTAAGTGGCTCATCGCTAAGTCTCATCCATCAAACCAAACGGTGAACTCCCCAAGGACAGAGAGAGTACCTCTTTTCCCTACTATCTACCCACAGTTCCTGACTGTGTACTAGGCACACTGCACTCAATAAATACAAGTTAAACCAGACTGAGCTAAGCCATGTTCCTTTTTTCTACCTCGTCCTCCAGAACGACTTCCACAGGGCCATCCTACGGACTCAGTCTGCCATGTTTAACCAAGTTCTGATCCTCTTCTGTACACTCTTGTGCCTTCTTTTTACTGGGTAAGTATCTTCTGAAGTTTGGCCCCTGGTTGAATCCTTTGCAGCTCTGAGGCATCCTATTACTCACCTGTGGGTTTGTGAATTGTTCTAGACCAGGGGTGGGGAACCTGTGGCATCAGGGCCCACCCCTGTACCTTCTATCTACATTAAAACCTCTTCTGTTTATCAGGTGCAAAGTATTACATTGGAGTAGGGTAAGGCAGGTGGAAGAGGAGAAGGGAGAAAATTCCTAAGCTGCTGACATTAGAGTCTGATACATAAAAGATCAATTTTAGTTATATGGACTGAGATAGCATAGTATATTAGAATTCTACTTGCTAGCTGTATGACCTTAGGTAAATCATTTAGCCTCTCTGGGCTCAGTTTCCTCATCTGTAAAATTAAGGGGCAAGGGGAAGGAGGCAGAAAAGGCTGATGGCAAGGAATATAGAGCATACATCTAGCCATCTGCAGTAACCTCGGTTTCTTTTTTCGCAGACCATGAATCTTTCTTACTGTATCTGACATAAGAAGGAAGATCACAGTAGTAACAGGATACGGAGATGGATTGGACCTTAGATATTATCTAGTCCACCCCATCTCTATTTTATGGGTGAAAAAACTGGGACCCAGTTTGGGGTATGCATGAGAGGAAGTTACATGCCCAAACTTCCTGAGATAATAAGAGTTAGAGACATGATTCAAACTCATGCTCTCTGACTGCCAATCCATGTTCTTTACCTTTAACTACTTCTCCAAGCCTTTTCTGTTTTCAAGCCCCATTCAGACCGGTCACTTACAAGGCTTAATTCTTATTGCGCCTTTTAGCTGGAAAGATACAGACATACAACTCTCCTAAACAGATCTGGTTTGTTTAAGAGTAATAGCCAAGAAATCCTTTTCAGGTAGCTGGAAAAATGCTTTAGTTATAGCAGTGTATATGAACTGCATATGTGCTAATTATAAAAATCTTTTCCTTAGAGTGCTTAAAAGTTTCTGAAAATCCCCGAGCTCTGTTCTTCCTGCCCTCTGTTAGCTATGTACCTCCAAAATTAACAAGAACTGATGCATTTTTCCAGCAATTTCCTTTGCTTACACTATGCTTCTCACTACTTGTGAGACCTTGGACAAGTCATTTAACATCTCATATATTTAGTTTCCTCATCTGTAAAAAGAGGTATCTGGCCAACATGACTTCCAGATATCATTCCAGCTCGAAATGCCATGATCTCTATAAGTATTCTCTGGAACCCAGAGGGCAGGCAGGGACTTGTTCAGAGTGATTCCTACTGGTGGTCACGTGCAAGAATTCGTCCCTTGGTTCCACTATCTTCCTAAGTCTATTTTTCATCTTCTATTTAATCCTTATAGGACCTGTGGTATTCAGCACCTAGAGAGAGCAGGAGACAACCTCTCTCTTCTCAAGTCTTTTTATTTCTGCATTGTCACCTTCTCCACTGTGGGCTATGGAGATGTAACCCCCAAAATCTGGCCATCTCAGCTCCTGGTGGTCATCATGATCTGCGTGGCCCTAGTTGTCCTTCCGCTCCAGGTAAGTTCCCCACCTAAAGGGGACATATGCTTACTAGTCAAGTCAACAAGCATTTATTAAGCACCTACAATAGTGCAATGGCTAGAGTGCTGGGCCTAAGTCAGGAAGACGCATCTTCCCAAGTTCAAATCTGGCCTCAGACACTTACTAGCTATGTGACCCTGGGCAAGTCACTTAACTCTGTTGCCTCAATGTCCTCAACTGTAAAATGAGTTGAAGAAGGAAATGGTAAACCATTCCAGTATCTTTGCCAAGAAAATCCCAAATGGGGTCATGAAGAGTTGGAAAAAACTGAAAAACTACTAAACAACCAGAACAAAAATTATGCCAGACACTGTAATAAGTTTTAAGGACACAAAGAAAGACAAAAAAATGGTCTCTTCTCTCAAGGACTTCACATTCTAATAGGGGAAATAACAATGGGGGAACAACTAGGTACAAACAAGTCATATACAGGATAAATTGGAGATAATAAAGGGAAAACACTAGTATTAAGGGGGATCAAGATAAATGCATTTTGGAAAGTGAGATTTTAGCTGTGATGTCAAGGAAACCGGTGAAACGAAGAGACAGAAATGAAACGGAAGAGAATACCAGGCATAATGGACAGCCCATGAAAATGCTTGGATTTGAGACATGGAGTGTCTTGAACAAGAAACAAGGAGGCCAAAGTACTTGAAGAAGAACAAAGGGTAAAAAGACTGGAAAGGTAAGGGGGGGGCAGGTTATGAAGGGCTTTAAAAGTCAAACAGATGGTTATATATTTGATCCTGGAGGTAATAAGAGTTTATTGAATGGGAGGAGAAAGTTGGGAGGGGGTAACATAGTCAGACCTATGCTTTTAGAAAGATCAATTTGACAACTGAGTGGAAGATAGGTTGGAGTTGGGAGAGACTTGAGGCAGGGAGACCAGTCGTCAGGATATTGCAAGTGTCCAAAAATGACATGAAGAGGACCTACAGCAGGCTGGTGGCAGTGTCAGACTGGCAGCAATGTCATAGAGAAGGGGATGTGTATGAGAAAGGTTGTGGAGGTAAAATGGACTGGACTTGTAAACAAAATGAATGGGGGGGAGGTGAGGCATCAAGGATGAAACCAGCCTGGGTGATGGGAGGATGGTGGTGCCCTCGACAGCAACAGGAAAGTTAGGAAGAGGGAAGGGCTTGGAGAAGAAAGGTGATGAGTTCAGTTTTAAATGTGATGAGTTTTAGATGTCTACTAAACACACTTTGTTTATCAGTAGGCTAGTTAGCATGAAAAAGGTTGTCTCCTGCTCTCTCTGGACTTGGAGTCAGACTTCATCAGTCAATCAACAAGCATTTATTAAGTGCCTAGTTTGTGCCAGACATCATGATAATCTGCAGGACCAGAAACACAGAACTAGGTTGAGTACCAGCTCTATCACTTGCTAATTATGTGACCTTAGGCAACCCACTTCAAGTCTCTGTGTTTCAATTTCTTCTTCTGCAAAATGAGAAGTTTGGACTAGATGTTCCATAAGGTCTCTCCCAACTCTAACATTCTGTGATTCTGTGACTGGGTCAATCAGGAGACTAGGTTTTTCATCCTGGCTCTGCCATTTACTCCTTCTACAAGCTTGGACCCTTTATCTCTCTCAGCCTTGCTTTCCTTATCTTTAAAATGGGGATAGTAATACCTGCCCTGCCCTCCTCCTGACTTCCCTGGCTTTCTCCAATTTCTAGCTAAAACCCCAGCTTTTACAGGAAGCCTTTCTCAATCTCTCTTAATTCTCGTGTCATTCATTTCTTAATTATCTCCAATATAGCCTATACATAGACTGTTTGTACATAATCATTTTCATGTTGTCTCCTCCCTTAGACTGAGCTTCTTGAGAGTAGGGATTGTCTTTTGCCTTTCTTCGTATTCTAGCATTCAGCACAATGCCTGGCACATAGTAGATAATTAATAAATGTTTATTGACTGACTGACTGCCTTCACACTGTCTTAAGATAATCAGTTAAAACTATGAAATGCTACATAAATATGATGGCTAGAACACTCCTCCTTTAGGCTTAGACTTCAGCTAAGGCTTTCCCAAAATAAAACTATTATCTCAGTATACTATATTCACAGAATAGTAGAATCCCAGAATTGAAAGGAAACTCACAGTTACCTAGTCCAACCAATAATTGGCCCAAAGTCCTTTCTACAATTTCTCCAATAAGTGGTCATCCATTCAAATTCTTATTTCCTCTCCCTTTTTTCAGTACACTGTGTGTTTTAGGCAGCTGCTTACGGTAAATGAAAATTAAAGATCCAATTGATCTTCTTACCAAATTTCAGGTGTGTCCTCTTCATTCTTCTCCCAACACTTGTCCTCACACTATTCTTTCTTCAATTCAATTCAGTTCAATAAACATTGAATAAGCACCAATGTGCAAAGCATTGGGTTAGATAACAGGGCTACAAAAACAAAACTGAAATATCCCAGTTATGTGTCTGCTTCTTGAGGGCAGGGAACAACCGGGGCACAGGCATGAAGATGGAAGATGTAGTGTCAGGTTTGAGGAACAGCTGGTGTGGATGGAAGATAGAATCCATGAAAGTGTGTAACATAAAGTAAGTTGGGAAAGGTTGGTGGGAGCCAAATAGATGGGGCCTTAACGGCCTGAATGATTTTACAATTTATCCTAGAGACAATAGAAAACCACTGAAGGTTTTTAAGCAGACTAGTGACCTATATCTTAAAAATATTGATTTGGCTGCTGTGTGGAGGATGGATTGGAGAGGGGAGAGCCTGGGAACAAAAATGCCAATTAGAAGATTATCTCAATAGTCCAGTTATGAAACAATAAGGGCCTCAACTAGGTCAGTAGCTGTCTAAGTGGGGGGAAAAAAGGACAGATTTGAGAGTTGTGGAAGTAAGGGTGAGACCAAATTCAGTTCAACAAGAAGTTATTTAGTATCTACTGTATACCACACACTGCACTAGGCAGTGAGGATATAAAGACAAAATCATAATTCCTTTCCACAAGAAGTTAATGTTCTCCTGAAATTACCTCCTTGTTCTCTACCAATTAAATCCTATCACTCTCCAAGACCCAATCCAAGCACCAACCTCCCCATTAAGCCTTGTACATAAAGCATCAGGTCTTTCTGGCATTCAGATCGCTTCATTTCCTTGCAGTTTGAGGAGCTTGTCTACCTCTGGATGGAGCGACAAAAGTCAGGGGGTAATTACAGCCGGCACCGAGCCCAGACGGAGAAACATGTCGTCCTTTGTGTCAGCTCTCTCAAGATTGACCTCCTCATGGACTTCCTGAATGAGTTCTATGCTCACCCTCGGCTCCAGGTAATGGCTGGCCTTGTGTAGGGCCTTTGTCTGTGTCCTGGGCAGGATTAGAGACAGGGTTCATGTAGCTCCCGGGGACCTGAAGGGGACCATCCCAAGGGTCCTACGGACTCAGGATGAGAACATAACTGCTCTCTATCCTGCCTTGCTCCAGTTCTAATATTGTGAGACCCTATGACCTCTGTTAGGGCCTAAGTTTATGTATCTACCCAATGAATATAATACCATAATTTTCCCACTTAATTTCACCCAAGGCAGATACTGTAAGAATCAAGTACCTATGTGACCTTGGGCAAGTCACCTAACCCTCTCTGTGGGCCCTCATTTTTTCAACTGTTAAAAATGAGGGGTAGGACAAGTTGGGCTCTAGGTCTGTTCCAGTTTTCAGTCTATGATCCTACAATGGTGCATTTTCCAAAGCTCTCTAAGAATACGAAGTCATGCCATTTTTTACATATTGCTCCCTCTGCATGAATAAGGGATCCAGATGGATTTCCTGTTGCAGGACTATTATGTGGTGATCCTTTGCCCAACGGAGATGGACATTCAGGTGCGCCGGGTTCTCCAGATCCCTCTATGGTCTCAGAGGGTAATCTATCTCCAGGGCTCAGCTCTAAAGGATCAAGACCTCATGAGAGCCAAGTGAGTGCAGAAGCAGGTCTGTGGGAAGAAAGGAAGGCAATTAGAGTGGGGGCAAGAAGACATTTGCCTCCTACTACCTTCCAACACCAGAAGAAAGAGACAAATTAAAATGGGTTAATTTAGGGCTTTTTAACCATTGAAGGCCGGGTATATACATTTCACCCTTGATGATATGTGCTAGCTAAAGGGAAACAGCACAGATAATCCCAAAGGTATCTTTTCTCAGCTTGATAAATGTTCTGCTGTGTTTTGGCAGCACTTTTTTTTCTTTCTAATGGTGAGAATGTGTGAAAAAATAATATAAATTCCCTACTCATTCACTGACAAGAAGGTTGAGGCACATGGCCTACTCGGGAGCCAGAGGGAAGCCAAAAGAAACCAAAAATTTCTCATGGGTAGTCCATATATACGTAACCTGAAATTGGCTTTATCTTACAGTCCTTGCCATTTCCTGGGCACACACAAAGATCTTAACTGACCATACATAAGCACCCTTTTCCGCACAGGCTCTAGAGGACACCAAACAGGCACTGTTAGTCATGACCATGAGTACTCTCATTGTAATCCCAGTCTCTGCAAGGCACGTTTCTCATGCGAGAACCCTCTTTTAGGAGAAGTGAATGATTCATAAATGAAGTCTGCTGTGGCCAGCTGAGTGAGAAACATAAAATAGGCAGAGGAAAATTAAACAGTAAACAGACCCTATTTCTGGCTTCTGTTGAGAATTTAATGGGCGGATCAATCAATGAGAGCTACATCAGTATGTTTTCTTTTTGAGGGTCAGCCACAGACTGCCAACTGACCATGGCCAACCGTTAAATTGGACCTCAGCCATAGTGACCTCCTAATTATAACCACAGACTGGCCCCCTAACCCTAGTGACAGATTAATCTTTAACTGGTCACAGACTAAGCCAGACCCCATTCAACTACCTCACAAATGCTTTAATCAGCAGGTGAACTGGATGAGAGTGCAAATAATTCAATGTACCTACTTGCCCTCAAAAAGGCAGCTAGGTAGCACAGTGGTTAGAGTGCCAGGCCTGGAGTCCAGAAGACTCATCATCATGAGAGTTCAAATCTGGCCTCAGACATGTACTAGTTGTATGACTGGGCAAGTCACTTAACATTAGTTGTCTCAGTTTCCTCATCTGTAAAATGAATTGGAGAAGGAAATGACAAACCACTCCACTATCTTTGCCAAGAAAACCCCAAAAAGGGGCCACACAGAATTGGAAATGACTAAACAACAGCAGCTTCCTCTCACAGAGACAGAACTTAGTGGTGTGAGTTAGTTCAAACAATTCAATCTCAATCCTAGGTTACTAGGATAAGTCTAAAGTATTGTCTAGGGCCCTCAGAAAAGCAAAGAGCCCTGAAGAGGGAAACTGAGTTGTTTTGACTATTTGTGGACTTGACTCAGATGCTAGTTCTTTGAATTTTAAGTTGTCTGTCATGTAAAACAAAGCCTGTCTATATTTGATGTGCTGTTAGCCAAGTATTTGCATGAGGGCTAAGGGATTCTTCTCTTTTATCTCTACAACAAACAAAACATGAGCTAAATATTTTCAAGGGAAACCCTGGTTAGGGGCAAGATCAGCCAAACTGGGATTGTTGGATTGTTGTAAGGTTGTTGGAAATTGTTGGAATATAGGATTGTTGAAAATCCCCCCAATATTGTACCAGGTCCAAGCAAACCCAGAGATTTGGTTCTGGGCCACAAGTTACATATGTTAGCTGGAATTAAAGCAGTAAAAACATGGTAAAGTGGAAAAAGGATCCTCTGCTTTTGTAACATACTTGAGTGATTACCCTGAAAAATTGGAGGCTTAGAGAAAGGACTCCCATGCCTATGAATAGTGAAGTGACATTGTTCTTGAAGGAGAGAAAGTCATTATGCTATGAATTCATGTCCTTTGTTAACATAGCCAACATGTATGTAGCTGGCAATTAGCAGTACTAAAATTAATTATTTAGTCGAGACACCTCCTCTAAGAAGTCTTCCTTTCCTATTCCTCACTTAGAAAAGGTCACTTGGTCTACTCCAGTATTTCATTTCTCCCACACTGCAGCAGAATGTTTGTCTTAACACATCTCTAATTCAGGCATGTAGGTCCTGAAGGCAGGGCAGTGCAATGGAAAGAGAACCATGAGGTTTTGGAATCATGGGTTTTGGAATGGATGATAACTTGCTGGGAATATTATAGAGAAGATTCCTTTTTAAGTATGGGTTGGATGAGGTCCCTCCCATCAAACTCTGAGATTCTGTGATTCTGTAGACCCATTTCTCCCACCAATTCACTGCATGACTTCAGGCAAGTTACTTGCCTAAAGGACCTCTAGGCCTCAGTTTCACCCCACTCAACAAGAGAGTTGGACTAGATGATATCTAAAGTCTTTTGAAGCCAGACATGCTATATTCTGCGAGTCTGTTACAGCCCACAGGGAGCTTTCTTCTATCTGTGAGCTTGTAATATGCTTACAATCTATACTATATGTTATAATCCACATTGTTTCATTTTATCATTGTTCCACATGTGTGAACTCTGTTTCCCCAACCAGACTGTCAGCTCCTTGAAGGCAGGGACTATGTCTTCTCCTTGTTCTCCCACTGGCCTATTACAGGGCCAGATACAAGGTAGTTGCTTGGGGAATGCCTGATGACTTGAGGAGCCATGGATTGAAAGCTAATAGATTATTTTTTGTAGGATGGACAATGGTGAGGCCTGCTTCATCCTCAGCAGCAGGAATGAGGTAGACCGAACAGCGGCGGTAAGCAACCCAATTCCATGATAACTGGCATCAACAATGCTTCCTGGAAATAGGGCTGGGCTGGGCTTAGGCCCACAAATCAAGTGTGTACTTTAGGAGGGGTCGCAGGTGGTTGGAAAGTTAAACAGCATTCTCTCCCCTAGGACCACCAGACCATCCTGAGAGCCTGGGCAGTGAAGGATTTTGCTCCCAATTGTCCCCTCTATGTTCAGATTTTGAAACCAGAGAATAAGTTTCATGTCAAATTTGCTGGTAAGTTTTAGTTTCTAGTTGAAAGGTTGAATGTGTCAGTTAATAAATATTCATTAAGCACCTGTGCTGGGCACTGCGCTAAACACTAGGGAACAGATGGCTGTCCTCAAGAAGTTCACAGTCTAATGGGAGAGACAGCATACAAACAATAATGTACAAACAGGCTTCATATAGGATATGTTGTGTGTGTCATCATGAATGTCCTGAAGCATTTGTGTTAAGAAAGAGATGTCAACAGCCACATGACAGTCTAGTGCTGTGGCAATGGAGAAAGTGTGGATTAGGACTCAGAAGACCAGAGCTTTAGCCCTAGCCTTGCCACTAATTTGCCGTGTGACTTTGGTTAAGTCACTTCTCCTCTCTGGGCCTTAGTTTCCTTCTCTATAAAGCTAGGACTACAACACTTTGGCTCATCCCACCTGAAAGGGTCGTTATGAGGTTCACAAAAGAAAATAGATGAAAGTGTTTTAGAAAGGCAGAATTCACTGTGCAAATCCCTTGAGTTGGGGCTTTAAGCAAAGGTTTATGTGAAGAAAAAAAATCCCAGATAGTTCAGTGGATTATGTGATCAGTGGGAATTAATAGTCTGACTTAATGGTCAAGAGATCTAATGGGATTCTCAATATTTCAGCCCAGATGGAGTCTGTAACCCCTCCATCTATTATCACAGATTGCTATCTCTTTACAATTTGAGTAGAAGGTCTTAGGGAATGACTGTGGCTGAGAAATCCATCATTCTTCAGTGAACCTGGAGATGAGCCCCTTTGCACATAGCCCAAGCTCATCAGTCAATCTACAAACAAGTATTAAGTGCTTTCTATGTGCCAAGCACCATGCTAAGTGCTGGGGATACAAAGAAAGGCAAAAAAAAAACTGGACCCTGCCCTCAAGCAGCTTATACCCTAATGGAGACAACGTAAACACAGAGACAGACACACAAAATACATACTGAATAGAAATAAGATAACCTTAGAGGGGAAGTCAAGAATAGCTGGGCGGCCAGCTGGGAAAGGACTTCTACAAAAGGAGACATCTGAGCCACAATAGAAAATCATACAGTCTCTCACTGGGCCTGTACATAAAGTCTTTCCAGCTTGGAAGAACATAACAGAGCTTACCCTCTGCTAGTATATCCTTCAAGAACCCAGGTCACCTCCATGCCACAGTGTGATGATGAAGATGAAGATGATGATGATGGCATTTAGATGCCTCATAAGTAAAATGGGGTTAGGGTACTTGCACTACCTCTCACCTGGGTTGTTGTGAGTAAAGTACTTTGCACAACTGAAAGTACTCTAGAAATGATAGCTTTGATTGGGTTAGGGCATCTCTAAAGTGCTGGTCTTGGGGCCCCATGCCCTGCACCTGCAGTTATGAGATAGCATTTTGTGTAGGTATGCTGGTCCTTTAGTGACTAGCATTTTGGGGACAGGACAAAGATAGACTTTGGTGGCATAGTTCATGGAGTACTGTGCCTGAAGTCAGGAAGACTCATCTTTCTGAGTTAAAATCTGACCTCAGACACTTACTAGTTATGTGACTCTAGACAAGTCACTTAACCCTGTTTGCCTCAGTTCCTCATCTGTAAAATGAGCTGGAGAAGAAAATGGCAAACTACTCCAGTATCTTTGCCAAGAAGAACTCAAATGGGGTCATGAAGAGTCAGACATGACTGAAACCACTTAACAACAAACAGTGAGGTCCTGGTTAGAGAAAGGAGAAAAGTAAAAGTCTTATTTGTCTTTTGAAAAGATATCTGTTCCATCAACTGTAGGATGGCTAAACAATAGTGGTACATGAAATGATGGAATATTACTGTACTGTAAGAAATGAGGAATATGGGGCAGCTAGGTGGCGCAGTGGATAGAGCACCGGCCCTGAAGTCAGGAGGACCTGAGTTCAAATCTGATCTCAGACCAGGCACTTGACACTTACTAGCTGTGTGACCCTAGGCAAGTCACTTAACCCCAACTGCCTTAAAAGAAAAAAAAAGAAATGAGGAAAATGAAGAGTTCAGAGAAATATGGGAAGACATATGGATTGATGCAAATTAAAGTAAGCAGGTACAGGGAAACAGTAAACACAGTGACTACAATAATGCAAATAGAAACAACAACAGCTGAACACTGTATAATGATTATGATCAATCTTGATCCCAAAGAAGAAAAAAGAAAATACTCCTCCTTTTTTTTTGGCAGATATGAGAAGCTATGGATGTAGAACATTGCAAATATTATCAAATGTGATTGACATGTTGGTTAGTTTTGTGGAACTTCTTTTTTTTCTTTCTTTTTCTATGCTTTGCTACAGGGGATAACTTTCTGAGCATGGGAATGAGGGACATATTTAGGAGTGAAAGTGACCTAAAAACAAGACATCAGTAAAATTGAAAACAAAAGCAAGAGACATCATGGGATTCAGATGAATATTTCTTCTTTTAAAAATACTTATTGATGTATTTTGTTTTTACATCACTTCCAATTCTGAATATATATCTCCCTTCTCCTCTACCCAGCAAGTCATCTCTTTCATCAAAAAGAAAAAAGAATAAAAGCAATCCATAAAAACAAACTAACACATCGACTGTGTCTGACAGTATACAAAATATTCCACACCTGTAGTCAGCCACTTCTTCAAGAAACGGAAGGAGATGCATTTTTTCAATATTTCTCCATATGATTCAGTTTTGCTCTTCATATTTATCTTGATGATCAACATAGTCAGTGTTTAATAAAATATTTGAATGATTGGATTATTTGATGTACACATTGCTTTTCTGGTCCTGCTTGCTTCATTCTGCATCAGTTCATATAAGTCTTAGAAAGAAACTGAGCAACAGTGGGGAAAAATGAGTCACAGAATGAGTCAATCATAAAGCTGCAAATAAAACACAAGTGTCCAATTATGCAACCCAGTTTCCATCCAAGCAGTGTGAGGAAGGGTTACTGTTTGTGCTGAATGAAAAAGAACCATGCTCACTAACATTTAATTCAACATACGTATTTTAACTGTACGCTTTGTTTAGGGACTTGAGCTAGGTATCAGGAAAGACACAAAGTTTATCTAGCTAGAACATAGTTTCCTGCTTTTCTGGAGCTTGTCGCCTAGTAAGAACAGAAGGCATGAAGAAATGCCAATAATATATTTAATACATGATAAGCGCATTAGAAAGCAGAAGTGCTATGTGAATTCCTTGAGGGGAAGTTATTACTATTTTGAGATTTTTATTGGGCACATAATTACTCTGAGATTTCTATACCCTAAAGGGAAATGCTCAATTATAGGTACACAAATCTACATATTTGTTCAAATGCATATTTCTAAGAGGGCCCAAGTCAGACGGCAAAGAGATAACAGTTGTCTAGTAGTAGTTGTAGTTGTCATCTTAGCTAGTAGTTGTCATCTTAGATTCCTAGAACCATACAACTAAAGCATCTTAGAGTCATAGAACACAGAATGTCAGCACCGGAAGGGACAGTAGATATTAGAATGTTGGAGTTAAAAAGGACTTTAGAGATCATCTAGTTTCAACTCCCTTATTTCATAGTTAGGAAAACTTAGGCCCAGAGAGTAGGAGTGGTTTTGTCCACTATCACATCCTTCCAACTGAGAAAGCATTCAAATTGCTTGTCTTCCCCATGGTGTAGAATGTTCAAGAAAGTCTCTACCTTCCTCTCCCCTCCTTCATCACTATATACTAATTTGTCTAATAGAATCATAGAATTTCATAGTATGTTAAAGGACCATTGAGATTGCATAGTCCAACTCCCTCATTTTGTAGATGAGGAAAATGAGGCACAGAGCTTAAGTGACTTATCCGTGATCACATGGCTCACTAATGAACTTACAATCTTATTAGAGAGACTAGACACATTCCACAAGTCTGAGGGTACTTTAGAGAGGCTAAAGGCCTTAGCCCTAAAGATAAAAAGCCAAAAGCTGTTACTCCATCTATCCCAAACATGCCCTGGCCTCTCAGAAGAAAAAGGAACTTAGTGGATAGAATAGAGGACTTGGAGTGAGGAGGACCTACATTCAAATCTCATCTCAGACAATTAATAGTTGTGTGGCAATTTGCAAGTCATTTAACCTCTCAGTTCCTTGTCTGCAAAATCAGAGTTAGACTCAGTGGCCTCTTTATTTCTAGCTACAAGCCATTTCCTGAGAGTTCCCCTAGTAGGAAAATAGCCCATTCAAAAATGGCTACATCCAGTCAGCACTACTCCAAGGGAAAATGTTGGCCCACTCAATGTTTGGTCCTACTTATGAAAGGAAAGAAAGCAGAGTTTTGAGGTATGAAGAGTCCAGGGGGAGAAACAAAAGGCAATAAAAAGGAAGGTATAATGGAAGAATAATATGGGTTGCCTCCTGGAATATGGATATCTCCCTACCCCTGGAGGTATATGTGTCAGATAACCATCTGTCCAAGATACTATGGATATATACATCTGTAGATACTGAAAGATACTGTAGATATAGCCATAGAAGTGTTTATTGCAGTGGGTGGGACAGTGGGCAAGATGATCTAGAAGGACTTCTCTTGCTCTGAGAGTCTGAGATTCAGTGTCTGGATGAGATGTTCTCCCAGCAGGTGGGGCAAGGCCTTTTCTGCTGACCATTTCCCCTCTCTGACACAGACCACGTGGTGTGTGAAGAAGAGTGTAAATATGCCATGTTGGCCTTAAATTGCATCTGCCCAGCCACCTCCACGCTCATCACCCTGCTGGTCCACACATCCCGGGGACAGTAAGTATCCACATTTGCCTTCAGCTCAACCTTAATCAAGGAGTTGTCTTCAAGGAGTGTGTTTACAAAGATTATTCCCAAAAAGTGTAACCTTTATCAAAAGAACCAGAGCCAATGCCAGGAGCACCATATGTGTCAGCTAAAATGACCCAGGATTGGGGGGGGGGCGTGGAGCAACATATGAGGACTGATGAGATGGGACCTCTTCAGTCTGTCTTGACAAACAGAATAATCCTCTAATAGTGGAAATGAGGCAGTGAGACTACAGAGATATCTGGGAGTGGGTAGGCTTTGCCAATGCCCCTCAAATCATGCTATTCATGGAGTAAGATCAGTCCTAGAGGTGTGGGTATCTGCTCAGGTGGAATGTACCTCCATTCCTAACTCCCATCTATTGTAGGCTTGTCTGTGTGTCCCTCCCCCATGCACCTGTTCCTGTCCCAAGCATCTTGGGGCAGCTTTAATGGGCAGGCCTGGTCTCTGGCTTTGTCCCTAGGGAAGGTCAGGATTCACCGGAGCAATGGCAGCGGATGTATGGCCGATGCTCAGGGAATGAAGTTTATCATATCCGAATGGGAGACAGCAAGTTCTTCATGGAGTATGAAGGCAAGAGCTTCACCTATGCAGCCTTCCACGCCCACAAAAAGTGAGAGGAGAGGCAGGGTCCCCTGGGGGTTGGGGGGTAAGGGAAAAATGGAAGTAGCCACCAGTTCCATGGGGTTGAGGCCAGGGGCAGTGCTTGAAAGGAGTTTCATGGGTGGGGTGTGTGTGTGTGTGTGTTAGGAGTAGGAAGGGTATCTACCCTATTTCTTAGGCTAAATACCCTCTCCTCTCCCTCATTTTTGCTTTTTTTCTTACTCATCCCCTCCACTTTCCCAGCACTGAAACAGTGCCGATAAGTGGGGAAGGGGAAGGGAAGCAAAATCCAGCCCATGGAATCATAGGATCATAGGTGAAAAAAAAATTTAGAGGTCATCTAGTCCAACCACCTTGCTTTATAGGTGAGGAAACTGAGGCCCAGAAGGTTACGTGACTTGTCCAAGGTCATACAGATAGTAAGCAGCAGAGCCAGGAATGGAACCCAGGTCCCTTGACACCAAATATAATGTTTTTTTTTCCCCAAGATTATATCTTGGATCCTGGAATCTTAGAATGTCAGAAATGGAAGGCACTGCAGAGGTTGTCTTGTCCAACCTAATCTTCACAGGAGAAAACTGAAGGCCAGAGAAAAGAAATGGCTTTACCCCAGGCAATATGGGAATTTAGTGGCAGAGCCAAGACCAGAAATTTGATCTCCTGACCTCTGTCCCATGTTTGCTCTGCATTACATGACATTTTCCCATCCACTTCAAGCCCCAGGGTCCTTCTGCCATCAGGAGAAGAGTCCTCGATTTACAGTCCAGGTACCCAGGATTGAATCCCAGTACTGACATTTACAAACCTTAAATCACTATATGGATGCTCTACTGCTTTTGTCATTATCATTGCTTTGCTATTATTTCAATTATCTGGGAAATCCATTCCTTCAGCTTCAACTAGAAAAAGCATAAGTGACTCATGGGCATGCAGCATAAAGGAAAGGACTGTTTTCCTTTAAATGAGAATCTCAGAAAGAAAGAAAAGCTCCCTAGGGTTTCTTGTCTGTCCCTCAGTTAGGACAATGAGTGCCAGAGATCGAGTTTTTAAGTTGCATTGTGAGCCCTGCAGTGGAGAAGGGATTGGGGACGGAAAAGCAAGTGCCCTCTTTATGAGGCTGGCCTTGAGTGCCTACTATTGTATCTGCCCTAGATATGGTGTGTGCCTGATCGGGCTGAAGCGGGAGGAGAATAAAAGCATCTTGCTGAACCCAGGCCCACGGCACATCATGGCTGCTTCTGACACCTGCTTCTATATCAACATCACCAAGGAGGAGAACTCAGCCTTCATCTTCAAACAGGAAGAAAAGCAGAAGAGGCAGGGCTTCTCAGGGCGAGGCCTCTATGACGGACCCTCCCGGCTGCCAGTCCATAGCATCATTGCTTCCATGGGTGAGGGGACCCCCCCCCACTCCTAGAAGGATCTCCCTGAAGTCAGGAGGAGAAAGGGGCAGAACCTATCCTAAACTGGGCAAAACAGGCAGTCACATGCATGATGTGAGGCACAGGGCATTAAGAAGGTCCCCAGGTTCCCAATTTGCTCTCCCAACCCATCTCCCACACTATCTAAAACTTCACCATTAAGGATTTATTCCTTTGGCGTAGCCAGTCTCTTGATAAAATGCAAAGACCTCTGGGAAATCTCACAAATCGACTTTGTGTGACTGAGGGCAACTCCTACAGCTTAGGGCAATGGAAAAAATTCTATACTTGGAGTCAGAGATCTTGGCTCTACTACCTACTAGTTATGTGACCCTGGACAAGTCCCTTCACCTCCATGCCTCTTGACCCTCAGTTTTGTCAGCTATAAAAGTGACAATAATGATTGTACTACTTAACATCACAAAGTTGCTATGAGGAAAACCTATTTAGATGTGAACTATTATTATAATTAATGTACTGTCAACAGCCATTGGCATGAATGAATAGAAAGATTATTTCTACCTAAGTACAACTTTATACAAGAGGAAACCCACAATAGGTAAGTTTTGATGGATGAATGAGGGGCAGGAGGGAAGCAGCCAGAGCAGGAGATCTTCCTGGAGAGGGCAGACAATCCTTGGGAGCCCTGAGCAGGCAGAGTAAGTGTTCTTGGAGAGAAAGAAGAAAGATAAAGTGAGAGGGCATGGAAGACATAATCAATTTTACACTTTTACTGAGAGTTGAACAAGCTGAATCCAATTTCAATTTCCTCTCACCTCTTTATCTCCATGGGTCCCCATGTGCCATCCAGTCCCCCAAAGGCCTTCATGATGCCAACCACCACCCAGAAAACAACTTCCTTTCCTTCCACTAAACCATAGGCCTCCACCCCCCACAGAGCTACAGGTCCATCTGACTGCCATGATTAGGGCAGATAAACCATGTCAGGGGAATGGCCAGAGAAGGGCAACTAATGTGATCTCAAGATCTAAGAAAGGCCATGCAAGGACAGAGGAATTAGATAAAGTTTAAGGGATGCAGGTTGGGAAAGGGCAAAATGAACATCTACAAAACAGCAAAAGGCACTGAACTGATTGGGAGGTGGGAGAATTGGGTTCCAGGACTGGCTTGAGTAGTCACACTGTGTGACTTTGGACAAATCACTTCACCTCCATTTTCTCATCTTAAAAGAAGGTAATGTACTTGTCTTTGAGGTCTCCTCTAAGGACCTCTAAAGTCTGTCTCTAAACTTAGTGTTTCTGGTAGTCTTTGATCATGCAGGGAATAGAGAAGAAAGTTTGTCTCATTCTCCAAATCCTAACTTCCAGAACTGGAGCAAATGGGAAGCCTTGAATGTTGAAGACCATGTTCTGTTCTACTTCAATCTACAAGAAGTGAAACTTAGAGGGACTTTCTCGGGCCATGAATATTAAGAGGCTCCAAATGAGTTTAATTCAATCCTAGAATTGGCAGCAGGGTGAGGGCAGGATTGAGAATGTCCCAGATCATCCTTTGGGGGTCTCTGTCCTGGCCAGCAGAGTTCCAGCATAGTCCATTGTAGGCTTTTGTTCACTGTTGATTTTGTCTAGTGGAAAGAGCACGGGGCTTTGAGTGTGGAATCTTCAAGTCTGGTCCTGACACTACATAGCTGTGTGACCACAGGCAAGTCATTTCCCCTTTCTCTGAGCCTCAATTTTCTCATCTATAAAATGGGAGTGATAGTAACACTTGCTCTAGTTGTTCTGCAGAGCTATTATGAATCAAGTGCCTTGGTGACTTTAAATTACTATGAATATTCACCATTGCTGTCATTTTTGTTCTAGGATCTCCACTAAGGTCCTATTTTGATGTTACATCATAGCATGGAAGTGATCCTCTGTTCTATGGGAATTCAGTCTGAGAGGCTGTACCAACCTGGAAAGGCTCCATATAGGGGTCTAATGATAGAGCTATATGGCCGTCATCTGAGGCCCAGCCTGGCTAAGTTTAGACCAGATTGGCCACATAGAGATGAAGTTTTTTGGTCACAGCAACTCCTAAAGTCCTATTACACAGGAGAAAGGTCACAATCTGATCTGCATCACTGGAGGGAATATTATTACTAATAATGACAATAATAATAGCTAACATTTATATAGTCCTTTAAGATCTGCAGAGAACTTTACCTATTTCATTGGATTCCCCCAATGTGAGAGAGGCCCCATTTAACAGATGAGCCTTGTGAGGCTGACAGATTGAATGACCTATTCAGAGCCTTAGTAAGTGTCTGGGGGGCAGGATTCAAACTCCAGTCTTCCTGACTCCAAGATAGCAAGCGATTGTAATATTGAAAGAAAAAAAGTATTAATTGGGAGGGCCAGCTGAATTCAATCTAGGTAGACTGCATCAACTCTTACTGCAAGCAGCCAGCCGTCTCAGTTCAGGTAGCCAATCAGAGGATATCACGTCTTTGGAAGATTGTTGTGGCCCGTCATGTGTGCACAGTAAAGAGTAGAGAGAATCTTTCTGAAGCCATCAAGTTGCATCCCTAGGAGAAAAAAAGAACTTAGTGGAGGAGAAGAGTACCCATGCTTCAGAGAGGGCAGTTGCTGTGAGAATTTACTACTATTTCTAGTGCCAGGATTTTGGAGTGACTTGTGCATCAATGTTTAAATCTTACCAGTTCTCCACATGTAGCCATAGCAATCATTTCATGAATAGCAAGAACAATGTTGAAGTTGCCTGTGGAGTTTGGTTTTGACGGCAAGTAAACCTAGACCCAATCTGCAAAATGGAGTCTGCTCAAAAAAGAAAAAAATCATCAGTAATTTTTTAATGAGGAAAAAATGGAAGGACATAGATTTAGTTTGTTTTGTTTATTTTCAGCTTCGAACCAAATGGTTTTCCACAGCCATCAGAACAGAATCATAAAATATAAGAACTTAAAGGACCCTAGAAATCATCTCATGCTTGCACGTACACATATGCACACACACACACACACACACACACACACACACACACACACTGGTAAAGGAAACTGAGGCTTGGAAGAAAAATGACTTCCTTTGGTTACACAGTTCTTAGGTAGAAGAACAGAGACTTCTAACCCAAGTGGAGGGTTCTTTCCCCTTTACCCCATCAGTGCCAATGAAGAGAACACCACTCAATTCTTGCCATGACAGCAGAGAAGGGCTAAAGATTACTGAATGCTACAGATCACAAAAAATATCATCTTAACCATTAGCTTCTTTGTACAAACCAAACTATTTCTAAGCAGTTATCATAGAAAGTCAGAGCTGAAAGGGCTATGACAAACCATGTAATCCAAACCTCCCATTTTACAAATGGGGAAACTACAGCCCAGAAATGGGAAGTGACTTGCTCAAAGTTACATAGCAAGTCAGTGCCACAACTAATAGAAGAAGCAGGTCCCTCTATTCCCAGTCCAATGTTCTTTCTACTACATAACCCTGGTTCTCCTGCAGACAATGAGAAGTCCACGAAGGCCTCTGAGTAGTGGAGTAACCAGGTGAAACCTTGTTGGCCAAAGATTAGTTTGGTGATAGTGTTCAGGAATGGACTGGAGATGAGAGGGTAGAGCCTAAAGGCCACCAAGAAAGGTTTCACCTCTTTCTCCTTTTTTAGTAGCTAAAAGAACATTGAAGGATAGAATTTCTTGCTATTAGATGGGCTCCGTGTACCTCCTGGTACAAGCCTGGATCCATACTTGGTATCTCACTGCCCTTCTCCTCTCTAACACTTTATGTGCTTGTCAATACGGCCTGGAGCCATCAGCCCATGGAACAGAGGCAGGAGGAAAGCAGCTGCCCATGTTCTGCCCAAATTAGGTGCATATTATACACAATTATACTTCTCATCAGGGAGCTTCCCAAATTGGCTTCCAACAAATAGAAGTGTATCAGGTAGAGAGGGACAGACTCTTCCATGGCAACGCTGGCCAGCAGCACCAGAGCAGCTGCTTTCTGGGCTGAATGGACACAGGCTTGGGACTGCACACTGAGCAGCTGGCTCTCTGACTAGTTGAGTAGAACACAAGTCATTCTTTGGATAGATTGGATTGAAACAGTCACCTCCGGCCTTGTGCTATCTCCCATCCCTCCCATGCTATGGGCACTAGGCAGGAACTTACAGAGGCAGCAGCTGGTGTTTCCACCAGCAGGCTAAAGACCTGAGGCTCATAGACATTCCTCAATGATTTCCTCCTTGCCACCAGCAAAGCAATGGCATGTGACTTGTGGTTCTTCCCTTCTATGCCCATCTCTTCTATCCCAGGATGCCAATACTAGAACTACAAGACTTAGAGCTAGAAAGGCAAACAATTAATTTAGGGCCATCGTTGTATGGCTGCAGACACTGAGGCTCATCCAGGGAGGTTATGTTTATTGTTACCTGATCTCACCTTCATAAACATATTGGGGAGGGACGAACAGCCAAACTCTAATTACACGGGATCTGTAACCTCAAGGGAGAGTCCTGGAGGGAAAATTAGATAAATCCATTGTTGCCAATGGGCTAATGAGAAAAGGCTGTGGGGCAGTCTTAGACAGCATCTGCTTAACTGACCAAGGTGGACATGTCCCAACCCCAGGCTGCCACCTACAGGTTGAAAGAAAAAAAAGGTAATAATTATGGATTTAAGGAGTTTAAGTGAACCATAGAACAAATTCCCTCGTTGAATCCATGGTAACATATAATCCTGAATCTGGTTGTGGGTATCCCATTCTTTCTTTCAACTCCCCCCTTTATGGTTACTTCACCACAATATTAAGTGACAAAAGATTCTGTAATGAGGTCTTTTGGGTATTTCAGTAGTTCAGTCCCCTTGGCTGGGGTCTAAAACAGATCCAGCTCTCACTAAATTTTGCACCAGCAGAGAATGTTATAGTGATAATCCAGGAAATTTACAGTAAAAAGGAGAAAACTCTTCCTTCTTCTTTCTGGGAAATTCCAGGATCCTCATTAGGATGCAATCTGTAGCCAGAGATAGAGAGGCCAGTGTGTGGCCAGGAAATGGATCTTTTTATTTGGGTAAATGAAGTCTGGAAAGAGTGAAGTAGTGGGGACTCCTGGGATAGGTGTGTCCCCCACGGAGCAGGATCTGTGTCCATTAATCTGGGAGTGTTGATGGACAGGACAAGGGGGTAGGGGTGAACAAGGAAACCCCTACTGAGACACTCAGTGGCCAATGGGTTAGTTTTTTTTACTTCTTTCCAGGTACAGTGGCCATGGATTTGCAGAGCACTGATTGCCGGCCCCCGAATAGCAGCAAACTCACACTGCCCACAGAAAATGGCTCTAGCAGCCGCAGACCTAGCATCGCCCCAGTCCTGGAGCTAGCCGACAGCTCTTCTCTCCTCCCCTGTGACCTCCTCAGTGACCAGTCAGAGGATGAGATGACGCCATCTGACGATGAGGGCCTCACCGTGGTAGAGTAAGTGTGGCATTTACCCTAGAGGACACCCACTGAAGTTCAGTCTACATCTGAAGACCTCCCTGTAATTAACTAGACTCTCCATTAAGTTCTGTGTCATGTCATTAATCGAGCTGCCTCTGGTGTTGGTTCTGTAAACACACAGCCACTGATGAAAGTCCCTACTCATTCCCCAGCAGGGAATAAAGAAGAAAAATGGGTTAATTGTTAATTATGGATTTTTTCCTCTAAATTAATCTTGAACTTATTTAAGAGACACTAAGTATCTTTTTTAAAGTGTCTTTGAGCCATAGAAACTGTAGGCGAAGAGGAAAGACAATCGTGAGCAATAGAAGTTTAAAATTGGGGGAGGTAGGGGAGAATTGAGATGAGGAACTGAGAAAAACATAAATGTCTGAGCCATGGAAGAGGCATTTAAGATTTTATGAGGCTGACTGCCAGTCAGGCTTCAACTGTGTTGCAGTTTATCATGGAGAAAAAAAGTTCTTCATTCTAAGGGTAGTAACCGAGAGTGAGTGATTAAGTGGTTGTAACAAATTTAAAGCTGAGACTTTGTTGTTTTTCAGTCATGTCCAATTCTTTTTGACCCCATTTAGTGTTTTCTTTGCAAAGATACTGGAATGGTTTCTCATTGCCTTCTCTAGCTCATTTTACAGATAAGGAACTGAGGCAACCAAGGTTAAGTGACTTGCCCAGAGTCACACAGCCGGTAAGTGTTTGAGACCAGATTTGAACTCAGGAAGAGGAGTCTTCTTGACTCTATCCTAGAGTCTGGGGCACCACCGACTGCACCCCTCGCTACCCTGGAAAAGACTTTGGGAATTAACTATTCCAAAACTCTCATTTTACAGAGGATGAAACTGAGGCCCAGAAATTATTTGCCTAAAATTATATAGACAATGAGTAACAGGATCAGGACTTGAACCCAAGGTCCTCTGATTCCAAATTCAGTGTTTTTTTCTATGCATTAAGAGAAACCAGAATAAATGAGTGAATGAATGAATACTGTTATAGATAAGTTCATCTTGTTAGTGCTCTAGATAGGTGCTTATTATCTAATAAAAGTGGCTATTCTAGAAAACCTGTCATTCTAAAGAACAATCTTAATCTTGGTTTTTATTCTAAGAAGATTGCTAATGATTTAAGTAAATGGTTATAGGGATAAGGACAGAACCTATGATTCATTGGTCTAGAGAACTCCCAAGTAAAGAAATTCCCTCTACTATTGCAGGGCCACACTTTCCCTGCAGCTCATAGTCTAAGAGAATTGCCTAGAGCCCTGCAAGGTCAGGTCAGTAACCTGTCCAGGGTTCCTCAATCAGTCTGTATCAAAGATGGGATCACTCACATCTTTCTGGCTTCCAGGCTTGTCCTCGATCTGATACACCTGGATATCAGACTCAAATAGAAACAGGTCCTCTAAACCATACAGAAGGATCCCTGTGGGCCACATACTGATTTAGAAAACCACATATAAATATCATGCATGTTCTATTGTATTTTTATTTTGTTAAATATTTCCCAATTGCATTTTAATCTGGTTCTGTTGCTCCAGGGAGTACTGTGGGCCACATGTGTGTCTCATATGTCTGTTCTCCACCTTGGCTACATGGTCTTTGCTCTAGATTAATTTTTTTCTAAGCAACTGGTCACCATCCTTTCTTTAGTTGTGTAAATAGGAACATTTTGCGTCTGAACATATAGGAACATATCCTCCCTTCCTTTAAGATAAATAATAATCATAATCTCTGAAATCTGTATAGGGTTTTATATTTCTTAAAATACTCTTATACTAATGAACTCATTTGACTCAGAATCCAATGCTGATCTTATAGAAATGGAAAAACGGGAGCTGAAGGAGCCAAATGACTTGCCAAGTCCAAGGGCAAACGGCAGAGCCAAGACTCAAATTCAGATCCGTTGATTCTAAGTCTAGCCCCCTTTCCCAGTGCTGTGGAAATGACTCATTATTTAGGACCACCAGATTTTAGGACTGGAAGGGACCTTAAGGACCAGCTAGTCCATCCCTCTCATTTTACAGATGTGGAAATTGAGGCATAAGAGGGAAATTGCTTTTCTCAAGGTCACACAGGCAGGAAGTATCAGAGTCATGATTCTATCCCAATATTTCTGATTCTAGAATCCATTGCTAGAGCATTGAGCCTAGAGTTGGTAAGACCTGAGTTCAAATCCAGCCTCAGAAACTTACTAGCTGTGTGACCCTGGACAAGTCACTTAACCCTATTTGCCTCAGTTTCCCCATCTGTAAAATAAGCTGGAGAAGGAAATGGCAAACCACTCAAATATCTTTGTCAAGTAAACCCCAAGTGGAGTCAAAAATAGTCAGAGATGACTGAAACAACTAAACAACAACAAGAATCTGCTGCTTTCTCATTCTCTCTTAAAGTCGTATCCCTTCTGGAAAATAAAATGCATTTGAGAGTTCCCCAAACACATGTCTATTTTGCTAATGACAGAGCACTAGCTAATGTTCACAGAAGGGAAAAGAGTTAACAAATTCATGATGTGGGGTGAGGAGAGAGGAGAAAGTCATGTTTACACTTTTCTTTATGATGAAGAATCATCATTTGTTAGTGTAAGTAAGACTCTGTGTTTTGATTACAAGAGTCAGCAAAAAGAAAGTGCTGGCTGAGTCAGGGTTCCTACTGGAAAATGCAAGATGTAAGAAATTCAAATGCATCTTCATTGACTCATGGTCATACCACAGGTGTTCCTGCTTAAAACAAACAAATTATTAGCCTCAACCACAGAATTGTATTTGAGACCTTTATTGATGAATTTGTTCTTGTTTTTCCCCTGCTGCAAAGTAACTGTGTCATTAGTTGAAAAATATTTGTGACTTATATTTCTGAAAAACATTTGTGAGCCTTAAAGGAAGCTAAGCTTTCTAAAAGATGGAAGTGAGGAGGAAGTATTTTCAAACATGAGGTGGCCTGTGCAAAGATACAGAAATGAGAGATGACATGTCAAGTTTGGGGAACAGCAAATGCTGTGTTTGTCTGGAACAGAGTGTGGGCAGGACAGTAATGTGAAATACGTCTGAAAAGGTAGGCTGAAGCTAGACGGTGAAGAGCTTTCAAAACCAAAATAAAGAGTTTAAATGAAGAGTTTATATTTTATCCTACAGGCAATGGGGAGCCACTGAAGATTCTCCAGTAGGAGAGTGACACGGCCAGACCTATCCTTAAGAAAGATTATTTGGGCAGCTATTTATAAAGACCACAAACTTTCGCTTTTGTCATATTTATTCTAATTTAATTAACAAGTAATTATGGAGTATCTGATACATGCCCAACCTTATACCATTACTTAGGAAGACAAAAGAGAAGAAGTTATTCCTGCCCACGAAGAATTCCTTGTCTAATGGAAATTTGGCATAGTAGAAAGAGTTCTCAATGTGGAGTCAGAAAAATCTCATGAGGACACCTTGGAGTCATTTCGTCACTCCCCATCTTTAAAATAGGAATAATATTACATATGATGCTGACTTTGCAAGATTTCTGGGAGGAAAGCATTTTATAAGCCTTAAATTACAACAAAAATGTGAATCATTGCTATTGCTATGGCTATAGAGACAAAAAGACCATCTGGTTCAATCCCTTCATTTGACAGAAAAATAAACTGAGACCAAGGAGAGGCAGTAACTTGGGCAAGACCTCCCAGATGGGCAGCCACAGAGCCATAATGTAACAAGGACAAGAGTAAGTGGGATGGACAGGTAGAGTTAAATGTATTTGTTGACTATAGGATTTCAGAAAGTTGAGAGATCAGTGTGGGCTTGAGGAGCTAAGGCCGATTTCATAAAAGGTGTGGGATGGGAGCTACAGCTTAAAGGAAGGAAGAGTTTAGCTAGATGGATATACAAGAACCCATGTTCCTTTGTGTTCCATTCAAATCCATCAGTCTTCACTGAGCTTCAGGTACACCCATAGGTGCTGTGGGTGAGATAAGTTCCCTGCCTTCAAGGGCTTCTCTTGAGTTCACTCAAATCTGCGCCCCTTCCTGCACTGGACTACTGAATTTTTAAAGGTTAGAAAGGGTTTGCCAGCCCCTATCCTTTTCCCAATTCCCTCTAGTCTCCCAGCCAATTCCCAACCAAAGAAAGAATAGGAAAGAGCGTTCCCCCAGTTCCCACTATAATGAGTCAAACGCCAGGAAAGTGGGGAATTCTTCTTCCTTCCTCCCCCTCCTCTTTGCATCATAACTTAGCATCCATTAAAAAAAAAAAAAATTTGATTTTCCCAGCAGTCTCTACCAGGGACCAAGCTGTTCTATGATATTGGGATGCCCTCTTGTGGCTACTTGGGCCCATAGTTTGGTTTTAGATGAGCAAAGTGAGCCAAGGCCTTTTCAGTTCTTGCCCTGCCTTCCAGCTCCTGGGCATGAGCCCCTGGACGCCTTATTTTCTGCTACTCTCCAGCATAAACCCTCCACTACAGTTAGGTCTGCGTGTCCCTTTCCCACCAAACATAGGCCATATGAGATCCCATCTTTCTTCTTGGAATGCCCTATCTTCTCCTCTTTCCTTCTTTAAATCTGCCCCTCTTTTCAAGCCCATCTCAGTTCCTTGAATAGGAATCAAGCCTTCCCTGTCTACTCCATAATCATTTCTAACCTTCTCAGAATTCCTGTAGTACTTATAGAATAAGAGTCTTGGGGCTGGGAAGAATCATAGAGCCCATTTCCTCTAACCCCTTAATTTTATAGATGAGGAAACTGAGGCCTAGAGAGGTTATATAACTCATTGTCTGAAATACATAGTCTTATACTGGATTTGCTACTTTGTAATATTTTTTCATTGTTTTACAGATCATGGGTCTTCTAAACTATATCAAATGATCTCTGGGGTCTCTTCTGACTCTCAAATTCTAAATATCTCTGAATCTATTAGAACCAATTCTCCTTGAGAACAGGGACAATGTCATATCAATCAGCCAATCAGCAGGCATTTAGCAGATGCCTGTTATGTGACAGGTACTGGGGATATAATACAAAAATGAAATAGGTACATTTCTTGGGCTAAATATGCCAAGGCTCTGGCCTCAGGGAATTTACAGTCTAATGGGAGAAATAACATGTACATGTATAAATGTATAAAATAATTTTGAAAGGATATACCTTAACAGTCAGGAGGAATCAGGAAAGATTTACTATAGAATGTGGTGCTTGAACTAAGTCTTGAGGGACACCAGAAATTCCAAGAAGTGGACATAAGGAGGGGATGCATGGCAGCCATAGCATACAACCAGTCAAAGCAACAGAATGGAAATGGAGTGTAACATGGGCAGAACCATATGGCTGACTAGAAGAGTTCACAGATGGGCATAGTGTGTAAGAAAACTGTAAAGGTAGGAAGGGACCAACCAAAATGGGGCTGGCCAGGCACATAGTTGCTCAATAAACAGCTGTCTTCCAATCTCTGAGTAATGTAATAGAGTAAGAAGATAATATATTTGATACCTGAAACTGGACTTCCTCTGTTCCAGGTATGTAAAAGGCTACCCGCCCAACTCACCATATATTGGAAGCTCTCCTACTCTGTGCCATCTGCTCCCTGTGAAAGCCCCTTTCTGCTGCCTGAGATTAGATAAGGTAAGAGGGCATCAGGTAAGACTCCTTCAGTCCAAGGCTCAAGAGGACCTAAAAATATCACCTGTTGACACTATCTGATGTCTCTAACACTCTCCATGGCCAGTCACTCAGCAGGAGGTAATTAAAACAAACTTATTTCACTACTTCTCTAAGCCTGTAAAAGGATGGGTTACAAGGAAGTACACCCCCAATCTGTTTCCTTCGTGTAAGAAGATAAAAGATGTGACCCACTAATATTGGCTAAAGCGTTATGGCTTTGCCAAAGGCAGGACTGAGCTGGTTAGTGTTCATTTAAAATTATTTAAGATCACTTTCTGCCCTAGGGTCATGCATTCAGTTAGTTACCCAACTCTATGGAGTCAGCACCCACTGTGTTTCTATCTCTGTTCTGAAGGTGATGTTTGTCCTTGTTATGTAAGTGACAGCCAAGGAGAATTCTGAACATAATTCAGGATACCTTCTTTGATAGGTCTTCAGAATGGGGCATTGTTAGTTTGCCTTAAGTGTTGTGAATTGCCAGGATGTCATATATGTACATTATTTGGGTACATAGTCCAAAGCCAAGTACATAAGTACATGTGCATAAAATAATGTATGTAACCTCCCCTACAGTCCTAGTCCATTGCCTCATCATGGTATGGAAGGGGCCCCTCAAAGGCCATGCCAGTGCAGCACAGAGTTTGGCAGGTGCAGCTAAACTTAGAAGATTTTGAGTATGAGTCCAATGACAGATATCTGTCATCCAAGGATCAATCTTGTTAAGTTCAGAGAGGCTCATACTCAGGTTGGACACAGAATTAGCTACTACATCTACTAAGTTGTAGCAGGTTTGTGATCTGTGCCAATGGAGAAATGTCCACACAGACAAAAACAGAGATCTTGATATACTGAAGTAATGTACGTAAGGAACTTCATAAACCTTCCGGTGCAAAAGAACATGTGTGAGTTAATATTGTTGTTGTTATATAGAATTACAGAATTTGAATGTTAGAAAGGACCTCAGAGACCATACAGTCAGTCAATGGACATTTATTAAGTTCCAGGCACTGTGCTAAGCCCTGGAGAGACAAAAAGAGGCAAAAGAGTCTCTCCCCTCAGAGCTTAAAATCGAATGAAGGGGCTCACCAGCCAATGAAAAGATTCTACATGAAAGGAATCCCCACTGTAACATACTTGACACATATTCAGCCTTGCTTGAAGACTTCCAAGAAAGTTCCCCCACGGAGGGGGAACCCATCACCTCTAAGGGTAACCCATTGGTAGAAAGTTTTTTTCCTGACATCAACCTTCAATTTGCCACTTTACAGTTTCCACCCACTGCTGCTGTTTCTGCCCACCGGAGTCAAAAAGAACAAAGCTAATCCCTCTTCCACATGACAGTTCTTCAACTACTTATGACAGCTATCATCACCTCAGAGTCTTCTCCAGGCTAACTCATTCTCATATCCCATGGACTCAAGACCCTTTGCCAGCCCATATATTTTGTTTTCTGCAACAGAATGTCTCTACTCCACAGTAACACACACACATACACACACAATCCCTTTTAGAAAGCTAGTACTAGTCCAAAGGTTGGCATTTTTCCCAAAATAGGCAATAATCTAGACAAAGACCTAGCTCTGTTTCTTTTCTAGAATATAACATGGCATCCCATAATAGAAAAGTGAATGAAACTTTGAGCAACTCTGTTTATTCTCCAGATGCTATCACCACATAAGTTACAAATAGAACATTGATTGTCTATATATTAGTTCTCAGGGTGCTACTTTTGTGTAGGACAGTAGCCAACATGTTGACTGATTCTATCTGTCCTCTGGGCGTTTCTTCCAGATGGAGGCATAACAGAAACTCTGACTGACAGGATCTGTTCTCTGGATCTTATCTCCATCCAGGGCTGCAAGCACAACAGTTATGAAGACGCTAAGGCCTATGGCTTTAAGAACAAATTGATCATAGTTTCTGCAGAGACTGCTGGGAATGGGCTGTATAACTTCATTGTTCCACTCCGGGCGTATTACAGATCTAGGAAGGAGCTAAATCCAATAGTTTTGCTTCTGGACAACAAGTAAGTACACTGACAAGCTGTTCCTTTTGTTTAACAGGCCAAAAAAGGGAGGACCACTAATACTGGCTGGGTTTTTCTGGTTTTAACTAAGACAGGATTGAGTTGGGTTAATCATTAAAGTTCATTTTCTACCCCAGGTAAAATGGAGTGGCCCAGCACCATGAATTCAGCCCCACCCATGTCGGCAGAGCTAATACATTTTGTCATTGAAGATTATCTCCCATTGCCTATACATGTCCTACACTCTCATCCTCTCAATACAACTCCTCTCCCTTTTTCTGACTTTTGAAATCCTAATCATTCTTCAACAATTCTAGAAAAAAACTTCTGACGATGTTATAATGGGATCATATATTAATATAGTATTCTTGACTCTCCCTATCTGCCCTTTCACCAACAGGACAAAAGTTCCGAATTGGGTTTCCAGAGGTGGAATGGGGATGGATCAGGCCATTCCAGGCCTTCCTAAATCCAAGAAATAGATTTGTTCTAGCTAGATAGGCTAGTTAGGGGGTCAGTTCTATGGCCAGGGAATAGAGCAAAGAGAACAGGCCTAAAAATGGTTCATTTGGAGATGGAAAAGCAGCTAGTCTAGGGGATAGTGAGCTCCCTGTCACTGCTAATGTTGAAAAGGCTAGATGTTCAACAGGGATATTGTAGAAGATGAATATAAAACATTGTGAGGGTACTAAGAGTGTCAAGAGTGCTAGAGCTCAGGATGAGCTGAGAGAGTTGTGAACCACAGGGATCCAGACTAAGATCTCATTGATAGAGGAAACTCTCAGCTAAGGAAACTCCTGCCAATGCAGGTCAGTCCTTTCTCTGCAACTTTTGGTCTTAGAGAGTGGCCTACAGCTTTAAGAGGTTAAGTGACTTGCCTGGTGTCACCCATATGACCAGAAGGGAGACTTCAACCTGGTTCTTCCTTTCTTTGAGGCCAGGTCTCTACCCGTTATGCCACATTGCCTCTCAATAAAGGCTAAGGACCACAAAAGGGGATTTTCAAGAAAATTACATTGTGGGGGACACAAAGGGAGGTTCCAAAAAGGGGTAGGATTGCTCAGGGTATGTGGGAAAATGATAATCAACACCACAGAGAAAGCAAAACTACTCAACCTTTTTATTTTGCTTCTGTTTTCCCTGCCAAAGAGAATGATCTTGGCCTTGGGAAGTATAGAACAAAAATAGTTAACAGGGAGCCAAAACCCATGGTAAGCAAAGAGATAGTAAGGGTTGCTAAATGCTTTATATACAAATAGATGACACAGTGGATAAAGCACTGGGCCTGGAGTCAGGAAGACCTGAGTTCAAATCTGGCTTCAGACACTTACTAGCTGTGTGACCATGGGCAAGTCATGGAACCTGTGAGCCCCAGTTTCTTCAACTGAAAAACTGGGGATAATAATGAAATGTAGATAATAATAGCACCTACAACAGGGTTATTGTGAAGATCAAATGAAATAATATTTACAAATGAGATGATATGTATAAAGTATCTGGCACACACTAGTTAATATTATACAGTGGCTGGCACATACTAGGTGCTTAATAAATGCTTATTTCCTTTTTTTCCTTCTTTGTCTTATTTGATCCTCACAACAATCACATGAGGTGAGGATTCTAGGTATTTTTATCCACATTTTACAAATGAATAAACTGAAACCCAGACAGTTAAAATGACTTGCTCATGGCTACACAGCTAACAAATTTTAGATACAAAATTAGAATCCAGGGCTTTCCTAATGCTGAGTCTAGCACCTTTTCACTTTGCCATGATGTCCTCCAAGTTCTAAAAGGCTGTGGATAATAGGAGAGTGATATGGAAAGGCAAATGTTATCTCAATTTTTTTAAACAGGGAAGAGGATAGAGTACACAAACTATAAGCAGGTGACTTTGACTTCAATTCTTAGTCATATTTTAGAATTTATTGTTAAAGGTAGAGTTTATGAGCACTTGGTAGGAGAAGAAATTAGTTGCTAGGAACCAGCATGACTTCATCAAGCAAAAGTCCAGTACAGTTGTTGTATGTCAGTTGGTTCTAGTTTGTCCTTGTTACAATGGAATGCTCACAGGGAAGGGAAGGATCCCGGTCGGGGAGAGTATGTACAGAAATTACTGTGATGTCAAAACAAAAGGTACCAAGAAATTTATTTTAAAATAGACTAAACTAATTTCCTTTGTAATGAGAGTTATTACACTGGTAGATCAGGAGAAAATGTGGAAGTCATTTAACAATATTCAGCAAAGTCTCTCTCCTGTTGTTATCTTACATACAATGCAGAGATGAAGACAAGATGAGTTCAGTTAGGTAGATGCTCAATGGGATGAATGATTGGACCCCAAAAATAGCCTGTAGTGGCTCAATGTCAACTAGAAAGGAGGCTTCTAGTGTAGTGCCTCAGGAATCTGTCCTTAGCGCTTTACTGCTTAACATTTTTGTCTATAGCATAGATGAAAGCATCAACGGCAGGTTTGTCAAATTTGTAGATGACACAAAGCTGAGAGAAATAGCTACTGTGTGGAATGACAAAATCAAGATCCAAAAAGATCTCAATAGGCAAAACAATAAGCCAAATCTAATTAGGTAAAATTCCACAAAGACAAATGCAAAATCCTAAACTCAGGTTCAAAAAATCAACTTTATAAGTACAAGATCAGGGAGGTATAGCTAGAGAGCCATTCCTGTTAAAAGAAAAGAAAAAAAAAGAAACAACAGTATTTTACTGGACTACCAACTCATTATCAGTCAACAGTATGATATGGGAGCAAAAAACAAAAACATAAAACAACCCTAATGTGGACCACATTGAGAGGTTCCATATCTAGAACAGGGGCAGTGTTCTGCTGTCTTTTATCCTATTCTAACCACATATTGAGTGTTATTGTCAGTTCTGGGTGGCAGTTCTGGGTGGGTTATTTTCAGTTCTGGGTTCTCCAGGAAGGTAGAGGCCAATCAGACAAATGTGACCAGGATAGTGAGGGGACTAAAGACCATATGATCAGCTGAAGAAATTAGACTGCTTTGCTTGGAGAACAGAGGACCTGAGACAGAACTCAACACTGGCCTTTGAGTTTTTGAAGGACTGTTGTGTGGAAGAGGAATTCAACTCATTCTACGTGGTGCCAGAAGGCAGAGCTAGAAACTGGCTAGACCAGGGGTGGGTAACCTGTGGCCTTGAGGCCACATGTGGCCTTCTAGGTCCTTGGGTGAGGCCTTTTGACTGAGTCCAAGTTTTACAGAACAAATCCTTTTATTAAGGGGGATTGTTCTGTGAAGTTTGGATTCAGTCAAAGAGCTGAACTTGAGGACCTAGAGGGCCCACATGTGGCCTCAAGGTTGCAGGTTCCCCACCCCTGGGCTAGACATTGCTGAGATGCAGATTTAGTCTTTGTGTAAAGAAAAGCATCCTAATATTAGAACTGTCCAAAAGTGGAATGGACTGCTTTGGACAGCAGTGGTCCCTTCACCCCACCTCTACCCTTTAAAGCAAGAAGAGTCTTTAAACAAAGGCTTCATGAACACCCGTCTGAGACTTGGCTCAGGAAAGAGCTATATGACCTCTGACTAACCAGAAAACCTCATTTAACTCAGAAATTCTACAATACTATCGTTCAAAGCCAGTACTCTCTCCACAAGTGTACATTACCTTTATTCTTTCCTTCCCAAACAAAATAATTACCCCCAGAAGATCTTGGCCAGTCTTCAAAGGTGAATTTACATGTCCCTAGAATATAATTCACTAAGTCTGAGTGACCCAATGGGATGATGGTGGATTATGTCTAATTATGGCAGCTCATGCCTAAGCTAGGCATATCTGGGGATAAGACAGAAGGGAAAGTCCAAGGAATAGTCCAGTTCCCTTTAGATCTTGGCTACCATAGCCTCCTTCTCTCCCTGGTGCCACTTAAACCCAGATCACCCAAAATTGCACATTAGATAAAAATGTCCAGGACCAGAGAAATCTTGGGGCCAATAACTGTACCAGGCTTAGCTTTAGAACTTTGAGCTTATTTCTTCCCTGACCTTTGGTGTTTGTGTCCCCACAGGCCAGATCACCACTTCCTTGAAGCCATCTGCTGTTTCCCTATGGTCTACTATATGGAAGGCTCAGTTGACAAGTAAGAGTCAGTTTAAGGGTCAAACTGTATTGTGTTAGGTAAAGAAAAGAGAAGGGCTTCATAATGGGGAGTGGAAGTGAGTTGCCATGCCTTCTCTAGCCTGATGCCAGAATATCTTAGAAATAATCAAGAATTGCAGGATTAAACTCCTCCCTAGTTACCTTCCCTGTCTTTCCTGCCTCTCTTTCTTCCTCTCATGTCCCTTCTTCTTTGCTTCTTCTATTTCCTATTATCCACTTTTTATTCCCTTGACTTTTCTCCTATAGGGAAGTCAATCAGATGCTAATTAGGGTTAATGTTGTGGGTAGATTGGAGGAAAGAGAAGCAATTGCAACCCAAACTTTCCCTCCTCCTTACTTGCCCCTAGAAGCCATGGGAGGAAATGTGGATCATATCCAAATTTCCCATAACCACATAGGAACATCTCCCATGGATGGGAAAGGAAATGGGATGGTGGCTGAATTCCCAGGCTTCAAAATTTTCTGAGAAAGAGGTCTGAAAAGTGCCTTCTCTCAAGTTTTGTGGCATGATATGTTGGTGCATGGTAGATCCCTCCCCTGAATTCGCCCATCAGTCCCTGTCCGGCCCATATCCTCTCAGTCTTTCTTCACAACTCCTGTCCCACTCAAGCTTCTCAGCCTCCCTCCAGCCCTTCAGTATCTCTTCTCAGTGTGCATTCCAGCCTAGTTCCTACCAGGGTCTCAGTCCTTTCTGTTCTCATTTCTCCAAAACTCTTTCTATGTGATATGTCTGGCCTCTCTTAGCCTGGATAGCCTACTACAGTGTGGTATCATATACGCTGATAATCTGGTGGTCGTGGACAAAGAGAGCACCATGAGTGCCGAGGAGGATTACATGGCAGACGCCAAGACCATCGTAAATGTGCAGACCATGTTCCGGTGAGTATAGGGGGAAGATGGGACACTATTTATTCACAGTCTGGAGCGGACATATGGTGATCCCAGCACTGCCTTCCCTGGTCTGGAGCTATCATGTCTTCCTCTCCTCCACTGAAACTTGCCAAGATCTCATTCTTGCAGTGCTCTGTTCCCTCTAAAATGATAAGTGGCTAATCTGATAAATCCATCTGTGTTCATGGGATTTGGTAGAAGAATATGTCCAAGACTACATTGATAGATGGATAGACAACTAGAAGGAACCTTAGAGATCATCTAGTATAGTGATGTCAAACTCAAACAGAAAAAATGGGAGCAACAAAACCATACAAAAGAATCCCTGTAGGCCACATGTTGACTTAGAAAACCACATATTAAGATTATCTATGTGCTATTATATTTTTATTTATTCCATTACATATTTCCCAATTACATTTTAATTTGGTTTGTGCCAAACTCAAGAGTATTGTGGGCCATATCTGGCTTATGGGCCATAAGTGTGACCTCTCTGATCTAGTTTCATTATTTACATTACCATTATTTACAAATAGGAAAAATTAACTCTCCCAAGGTCACACAGGTAGTACCCTAACAAAGCCAGGATTTATACCAAGATCCCATGACCCAATCTAATGTTCTTTCCACTGTCCTCTGCCCTGATTGGATTACATCAAGATTTTATAGACTGTTGAGCTAGAAGAAGAGACTATCTTGTCCAACCTGGAGTCTCACTTTTATTTTCACATGCCACATTTAGGGACACAAAACATGAGACAAGTTAATTTCCCTTTCTGGGTCTCTTTTAGTTTGAAAGCCTGAAAAATGAGGATATTGTACTAAATGATCTCTAGTCCCTTCCAGTTCTAAAATTCTATAAGCCTAAGTTTCTACTCCTGCCTGCAGGTTGGGCCTCCCTTTCTAGGGCACCTATATATTGGGGAAACCTTCCTCTTATCCCCAGGCCTTGACAACTCTCCCTCCTAACAGTTATCCTCCCTTCTTGTCTCTCTTTTTCCCTAGGTTGTTCCCAAGTCTCAGCATCATAACTGAATTGACCCATCCATCAAACATGCGGTTCATGCAGTTCCGGGCCAAAGACAGCTATTCTTTGGCTCTTTCCAAACTGGAAAAGGTAGGATTTGTGCTGGCCAGGCCCCTGGGTTTTAATCTCAAGTTTCTGTGAAAAGTCCAATCTGTTCTATACCCTGCTGTTCTTGGTTCCATCTTGGAAGCTAGGGAGAACCTTAAAGAAAGACAAGATGGGATTATCAGGAGATCAAAATTAGATCTTTCAGAGGATTCTGGAAGGAGTCCAGGAAAAGTTTAAGGAACAGTTTAATTATTGCCATCAAGTGTGTGGGCTTTTTCCTAGAAGATTTCCCTTTGGTGTAACCAAACTTTAGTGTTTCATGGGGACCCTACTCCTGTGATTTTCTGATTCTTTCCCTCTCAATGATGCCTAAGCTTTATGTTCTGTTCTTTCGTACAGAGGGAGAGAGAGAATGGCTCCAATCTGGCATTCATGTTCCGCCTTCCATTTGCAGCAGGCAGAGTTTTCAGTATTAGCATGCTGGATACCTTGCTCTATCAGGTGGGTTGTGAGGCACTGGAGAGATCTGCACCCAGAGAAAGTGGATGACTCAAAGTGTTTCCGCTGGATAAGAGAGGCATTCTGTGTTTGTGCATTCTGTGTGTTGTGTGTGAACTAGGGAAAGGAAGGGGTACACTGCAGAAAGTCTGGGTATGTCTGTCCATGCATACAACAGTTTGTATGTTCAGTGGTGGCTAAGTGTGTATGTATCCAAACGTGACAGTCTCTTCATATGTGTTTTGGGGATGAGGTAGACTCTGTGCATAGATGCCCTACATGTCTTAATGTGGGAATGAAGTGAAATGAAATGAAATAAAAAAAGCATTTAAGTGATTACTATGTGCCAAGCGCTGTAGTTAACACTGAAGATACAAAGAGACAAAACTTGATGATCCCTACTCTAATTGGGGGAGATAATCCATATAAAAAAATTCAGCAATAGGTCAGATAGAAAGACCCAAAAGTCCTAAGGGCAGCAGTCCTTAGGGCAGGTCAGCTAGGGGTCTGGAACTCATATCAACAAGGCTAATGGTAAGTCTTAGAAGACTTTAGGATGTAGAGGGAGGGCAGATGGTAAAGTTAGTAGTACTCTATCTCTCTAAAAGATTGGTAGTTGGTGACTTCCAGCTCATCTAAGTGGTATGAACAGCTATGTTGTTCTTCCCAACTGGCTGCCCTGTGGGGTCTGGTCCCAGATCAAGGGAGGACTAAAGGAAAGGCAAAAGAGAAGGACTCCCCTTGCTGGCAGTTCTTCATGACCCTGCTGCCCCATGAGGTCTGGGCAGCCATGGGTAGTCAGTAGAGGAACAAATAGAAAGCAAGGAGAAAGAGTTTTGCCTCATGGGATTTATCTGGGTGGGGGAAAATTGGATGTCTGTGTATGTGTGTGTGTGTGTGTTATGTATGTCCTTTTAAAAAAAAGTTATTGACACCTTCTGTCTTTACATTGCATTCATTTTCAAACATTTCATTTCCCCCCATCCCATATATTGTGACCAAAAAAAAAAGTTAAAAGGAAGTGGGGGAGGAAGCAATATAAAAAACCAACCAACATATCAACTACATCTGACAATATATCCAATATTCCACCTGCAAAGGCTCCTACTTCTGCAAAAAAGGGAGAAGCACCTTTTCTCAACTCTTCTCTAGGGCCAAGCTCAGATCATTATTATTCCTATGGATGTTCATGTGTGTATGTTCACATATGCAACAGTCTGTTGGATGACAGGCCTTACAGATGACAGTCTAGATATATGTGTTTGATGGGAAGGGTATCCATATGCATAGCTATCTGTGCCAATTTACTCAATTCTTGCTTTCTATCTACCCTTTCCTCATCTCCTCCCAGTCATTTGTGAAGGACTACATGATCTCAATTACAAGATTATTGCTGGGTCTTGACACAACCCCAGGATCGGGATACCTCTGTGCTGTAAGTGATGGTTTCTTCCATATTTCCATTGACCTCCTAGATACTCCATTTAGAAGTCCTGGACCAATGCTTCAAATTCAAGAGGTCCAAAACCAACCTCCTTGTCACCTTCTAAAATCTGCCCTCCCAACCTCTAACCTAGTATAATCCAATAATAGCATTTCCATCCTCCCAGTCACTCAGGCTCCTGACACTGGCATCATCTTTGATTCTCAGAGAGGAAGCATAATAGTACAATGGAAAAAGCATTCACTGGATTTGGAGTCAGAGAACCTGGGTTCAAATCCCATTTGTGTTTCATTTACCACCTGTATGACCATGGGTAAATCACCCGGACTTCAGTCTCCCCTGTAAAATGAGGGGGTTGGGCTATGGGACAACATAGACTCTGAGGTCCCTTCAGCTCTAGATCATGGATTTTTAACCTTTTCTATGAGTTGAACCTTTTTGGCAGTCTAATGAAGCCATTAGGCCCCACCTCAGAATTATGTTCTCAAATGTAGAAAATACATCTAAATGCATATAATATGTATAAAATACATAGAACTACAAAAGAAAACAACTGTATGGCAATACAGTTATAAAAATATTTTAAAACAAATCCATAAACCCCTATTCTAGATCTATGATCCTATGATCTCTCCCCTCTCCTTCCGTCCATGTCACTGAGTTATGGTACTTTTATAGTGCTTTCATTAAGCACTGCTATTTGAAACCATTGATACAAAGGTTTTTAAAAATCACAGTCTTTGTCTTCAAGAAATTTATAGTCTGCTGCGATTAGAGGTAGGGGAAGAAGACTTGTATTCAAATAAGTATAATGCAAGATAGGTTGAAGAAGATATCATACAGAGCTCTGTAGGAAAAATTGAGGAAGGAATGAATGTGCTTAGTTGTTGGGGGGAAAGTGTCAGGTATCATGAAGAAAGTTTATACCTGACCTAAGCTTTGAAGGGAGAGAAAAACTCTCAAAGACAAAGATGAGGAGGGTGCGAATTCCAGGCATAGAGGATTATCTTCACAAATTCACAGAGGAAGCAAAGCCCAGGACAATATTGGGGAGCAACTAATAATCCAGAATGGCTAGAGAAGAAGAATATTAAATGAGACTAGAAAGGTAAACTGGAGCCAGATTGTAGAGAGTCTTGGATGTCAAGCTAAGTAGTTGTCTCTTATTCTAGACACAATAAGGAATTGCTGAAAGTTCTTTAATTAATCAGGAAAGAGATATGGTCAGGCCTGTGTCTTGGGAACTTGATTATAGCAGCTATATAAAGGATAGATTGGAGAGAAGAGAGCTTTGAGGCAGGAAGACCAATCAAGAAGCTATTGCCACAGTCTAAATTCAAGGTGATAAGAGCCTGAACTAGAGTAGTGTCAGAAGATGTGGAAAGGAAGGGGTAAATGTGAGAGACTTGAAAGGAGAATCAACAGGATTCAATAACTAATTAGGCGTATGAAGTGGGGGTGAAGGAGGATTCCAAGGTATCAAACCAGAGTGACCGAGAGGTTGGTTGTGTCATCAACAGAAATAGGGAAGTTGGGAGAAAAAAAGCCGGATTAGGGGGGAAAGGGGTGCAGATGATGAATTGGGTTTTAGGTTTATTGAGTTTGAGTTACAAAATAGTTGTTAAGGCAATTCTACTTTAAAAATATCTCCATCATCTGGTCCTCTTCCATTCCTACAGTAGCCACCTTCGTTCAAGTCCCCATCTACGGTCTGTTGTGATGGCAAAATTGTAGAATCAAAGAGTATGAGAGTTGATAGAGACCTCAGCAGTCACCTGGTCTAACGTATACCCAAAAAGAATCCCTACTATAACCTATCCGACAAGTGATCATCCAACCACTGACTGAAGGTCATCAATGAAGGGTACCCTGCCTGGAATGGTCTTCCAGTCTCCAGTTTATCCCTTCTCCAGTGTCTTCATACTGCTGCCCAAGTAATCTTCCTACAATACTTCCACTGCTTTGCTCAAAAATCTTCACTGGCTCCCCACTGCCTTTGAAATAACACACAAATACTAAGTCTAGCTTATTTCAGACTACTCTCCTTCCAGCCACTCTACATTGCAGCCAGACTAGATCATACTATATCCCCCTCCTCTAGTGTGCTGTCCCCATGCCATTTTTATATGATCCCACCCACCTAGAATGGATTACCTTCCCCAATTTACCACCACAATGCACCTCTCAAATCTCTACTTGTTGAAGTCTTTCCCTTTCTTTAAGATCTAACTCATGCCATCAACTTGCCTTTCCTAGCAACCATTGGCCAGAATTAAAGTGATCTCTCGCCATCCCTCAAATTTCATAGCATTTTGCCTGGACCTCTCCGTTGTACTTCAGTCATTTGTGTATATGTCTTTTGCTCCTAATTTTTTAAATTTAAAAACTTTTTAATAAAATAAATAATTAGAAGGAATTAAAAAAAAGAATGTAAGCTTATTAGGAGTAAGGTCTAGATTGTATCTATCACCCCTAGCACCAAGCACAGTACCTTGCACATCCAAGGTGTTTAACCAATGTTTGGATTGGAATGGAATTTGGCCTGAGCCTTGAATGAGAGGTTGAATTTGAAGATGATGGCAATCTAGGGATAGGGAATAATGTAAGTAAAGGTGTATAGGGAGAAAAGCACAGGATATATTTGGGGAATACCAAATAATCTAGGTTAGGCTCCATAAAGGGTGTAGTGTGCACTAAGATGAGAAAAGTAGATTACATCTAAATTGTGAACAAGGACTTTGAGGAACAGACTAAGAAGTTTGCATGTTATTCAATTTTTTTAAGAGCTTCTCAAATGCTTATCAGTCTTAGTGTCCAGTTCCTTCCTAAAAGACTTTTTCTTGCCCCAGATGAAGATCACAGATGATGACCTGTGGATTCGGACTTACGGCCGCCTCTTTCAGAAGCTCTGCTCATCCAGTGCTGAGATCCCCATTGGCATCTATAGGACAGAGTCTCACATGTTTTCCACATCAGAGGTAGGGAATGGAACCAAGCCCTGGAGTTTACTAATCAGCCACTGCCAGAATTTGCCAACTCACATGATTCACTCTCATAATATCCTGGGGGAGGAGCCTTCCCATCAGTGCTGCTGGGAATTTCACTGCTGAGAAATTCAGTTTAATTCTTATGGGCACATACAATATCAGAACTGGAAATAACCTCAGAGACCATCTAATCCAACTCATTTATTTAACAGATGGCTGAGCTGAGGCTTAGTCTTTAGAAGGAATTTGCTCAGGGAAACCCAAAAAGTTTGTGGCAAATCCAAGGATATAATTCAAGTTCCTTGCTTCCTGGTCTGTAACTCTTTCTATGACACTTGGGAACTACAAAGCCACAACATTTCTGCATTTGCCAGCTCTACTTTTTTGTTCTTTGGCTTTTTTTCTTTTAATTTACCTGTGGGTTTTTTTTTTAAATCCCTGGTGTGCCAGCCTGCTGTGAACACAGTATTTAGATACTAATTTGCTACAGCATCAGGAGCCAGTGTCCCCCTGGTGATACACAGTGGAACAGCTAAGAAATATGGCTTAACACAGCAGGTGAAAGAGGCATTCCTTTTAGAGGATGCTAAGTTGATCCCCTGAGATCTTGGTTCAACTTCAGTGTGCAATAGGCTTGCACTGAGAGTCTGGTTCTAAGCCTCTGTGTTGCCAGCTGATGTAATTATCAGAGAAATCAGATTGTCTGATTCTAAGGATTTTCTATAGTGTTCAGTTCAGAGGGTGTGAGCCCCTGCTCTCTTGTGGACCTTGGCCTAAGACTTAGGGCCTAGCCGGGGGGCAAGTCTGGAAGACTGGTGATACATTCTGAATTAACCCAAACTGCATGTAATTTTCTTTTGTACAGCCTCATGACCTCAGAGCCCAGGTGAGTAATATTTGCCCTTAAAAAGTTAACTAAATTTTTAAAAAAAGCCAATTTGGTGCCTCACAATCATTATAGAAAATCCTTCCTGAAACATAAAGTCCCAGGTTGCATGAACTGATACAGATAAAGATGCTATGCTTTGGCACAGATCCTTTGGGTTCTGACTCTGAGTGGGGCAGCAGGGAGGAGAAAGGATGTTCTTAAAGATTTGCTACATTAAGTGGTGTAGCCAAAGAACCAGGTGTTTTGCTTCTTTTTAACTCTATTCTGCTTTCTTACTGCAATGAAAGAACAAAATTCCAGTCATTCCAAGTCCACTCAAGTACTTACTGAGCTCCCCACAGTCCCATCCCTGGGTTATAGGCACAGTGGGGACAGTAAGAGGAATGATCATGTTCTCTGCCTATGGTGTCCTTGGGGCAACAAGGTGAAGAAGACAGAGCAAATGAAGCCAATTTCTTAGAGGACAGTTTACAATAATGTACTGAATTGAATATATTTGTCTATCATTATGTGGCACAAATACTGTGTTCTGTACAGGTGTTTCTCTAGTTATCCAACATCTGCCTTTACCCCTAATTCAAACATCTGTTATTTCATTGATGTAGGTAGCCCCTCCACCTCCCTATTAGCACAGAATATCAACATTTTGGGACAGTTACTATTGTCAAAATATTCAATACCCTGCCTTCAACTTGATGGTGATTTAGCTCATCTAGTCCTCCAACATCAGGCATAGTCTGGAAGTAGACCATATTCCAAAAAAGTAGAATATTCGAGCTGCAAAGGATGTTAAAAAACCATCTAACCCCATCCCCATGTTCTCAGAATAGGGCCACTAAGAAGAGTAGAGAAATGACTCACAGCATAGTTCCAGAGCTGGGTGATCTTCAAGCTCCTAGTTCCATGTTTTTTCCCACTTTGTCCAGCTGCCTCTCCCCCTTACCTTGCCAATTTTCATTGGTTTCTCCAGTCCCAAATCTCTGTTAATGTGGAGGACTGTGAGGACACCAAGGATGTAAAGGAGCCCTGGGGTAGTAGGTCCGGGAGTGGAACCAGCCACCACCGCCCTCACCGCAACTCCTGCGCCAGCGACCAGTCCGATCACCCTCTCCTCCGGCGCAAAAGCATGCAGTGGGCCCGCCGCCTCAGTCGCAAAGGTCACAAGAACACGAGCAAGACAGCTGAGTGGATCAACCAGCAACGCCTCAGCCTCTACCGGCGTTCAGAACGGCAGGAGCTGTCTGAGCTCGTCAAAAACCGTATGAAACATCTCGGGCTCCCCACCACAGGCTATGGTAAGTGGAAGGTGGAAAAGGAGACTTCTGACCACATTCCATTAAGCACCCCAGACCTTGAGGACTTAACGCGTCTCCTGGATCTGGGGAGACCCGGGGACAGCCTTGTCCTGAATCTCCTAATTTCATAGCAGTTGGGGAGGAGGAGAGTATCTGTGGCTTAGCACACGTGTGGTCATAACCAAAGAACGTTTTTCCACAGCTGTGCTAGAGATGCGCCCCCCCCCCCCCCCCCCGCCATGTGCCTCCTTTTCTTTCCCTCCCATATGATGAGGGTATGTCTCTGGGCAGGGTGGGGAAGTCTCCGTTTTTGAGTTTGACCTTAGGGTTCAGACTACAAGTTATAAGTCCCAGGGTGCACAGTGTCAAGCCAGGAATCCATCCTGAGTTTAGCCTGAAGTTCACCTCTAAGTTGTGCTGAAGCCCCTAGTCCTTGATTTTCTTGCATTTTTCTTTTTAAAGACACACCTCCTGCTATTTATGTGTTTCCACAGCTGCTCACCTTAGAGACCATCTAACCTGCCCTCCTCATTTAACAGATGATGAAACTGAGGTCAAGAGAAGGTCAAAGAGTAAGTTAGTGGCAGATCCAGGAGAAGGAAACCAATCTCCTGGTTCCCTGTCTGGTCCTGCATCACCTTCTGCTCCATCCCAGAGAGCAGTGAACTGTGATGTGGAGGCAAAGTTGAGTGGGATGTCTAGGGAAAAGCACAGGAGACCAAAGTAAAGGGTGTGAGTTGGGGAAAAGGGTGAGATAGGCTCAAATAGGTTGGGTGGGATCATGTTACCTCAATCTGAGGGGCCTGAATGGGCCACTTGGGAGCTTGAGACTTTCATTTCAAGTCTGCGTGTGTGTGTGTGTGTGTGTGTGTGTGTGTGTGTGTGTGTGTGTGTG